TCGGTTGAAATTGTATCTGTGTTTATATATCTGGATGGCTGTATGAACACATCTTTGTTGATACCCAAAATCTTTGTTGTGTTGATATGCTTTATTACGTTTCTATACATAATGCAAAATAATCTTTAGCATTGTCATGGATAATATGAACAATAAATAAGCAGACAATATGCTTTATGTATCTATCCCTCAACATCAGAACAGCAACATTTTTTCCACATTCCATCAGCCACAAGGTTTTCTAGGATTTCATAATGTCATTATAATTGGTTAAATAAAAGGAAACTCTGGACCAGTTTATATATAAAAATATTAATGATATAACTATTATATGAATATAATTATAAAATATGTCTTCGAAGGGATGTGTAAATTAAGAAAAACTTTATATATTCTTCCGGGCGAGATGGCCCTTATATATGTGGACAATGTATATGTAAGTGATATATTGCCACATTTGTTTATGTCAACCTTTAAACCATCCACATAACACCATACAAATAGAACGTGAGTCAAAAGTCTGGAACCACGCTTGCCAAAGTGACTGTAGCATGGTTACACCCTGGCAATTCGCCCTGTACGTGTTCTGAAAGTTAAATGGTAATGAGAATGTAACAAAAAGTTACTGAGCAATAAATCAAGATGACGATGTCACAGGCAATGATGGAACAAAATAACAGAATTCTGAAACTATGTTTAGTTGTCAGAGGTCACTCGTTTGGTTGGATGCCTCTTAAAGACCCTGTGCGGTGGAGAAGTGTCGCGGTGGATAGCACACCGTGTTACCACCCCAGCATCTTGAGTTAAATTCTTGGACGTGACTTACATCAGTGGCCTTATCCAGAAGTGGATTGGTTGGATAAGTAATGCAAACTAATGACCGTGCAAAGTATGTCTCTCTACCATCCTACATGGGTACATTCATAACTCTACCACCTGAATTTGTTTGTTACAGTGAACTCCTCACGCACAACCCCGCCAACTAAGTGACCTGTACTGAAAATTAAGCATTGGTTGGTGCCCAAAAAAGCACTTTGTGTTGAATTGATGTCTTGGAGCTGTGGCCATAATGTTAACTCTTGTATTGACGGAATACAATGATCGGCATATGCTTAGTTTGTTGTCCTCCCACACCTCCGATTAGCATGGTTGGCTACGTATATGGTGTGAAAGAAGTTCAACATACACACTTGTTATTTTCATATCAATTGGTGGGATCAGTGTCAATTTAGTTGTCAGAATGCTGAACAGAGTTGAGCTGGAAACAGACAGATATAGCAGCATAATTTATAATTCAATATTTTGTGGACACTGCTTGTCTGGCTTATATGCATTCATTAACCCCCCCCCCCCCACCTCTTGCCTTTGCACGTAGGGGGCTTACAAATGACGACATCACATCTATCCCTCTATTTAAGAACGAAACAGAATGATTTCTCCACAAATCTGGCTGTTACCTGATGATGCTAATTGTAATTTCTGCCGAAACATTGTACTCAGATTGTAAATTTTGTGGATTTACTCTCCAACATACCGGTGTGCTGTACTAGTAACTAATTGTCATGTTCTGTTTATGTGACAAACCTTTCTAATTGCCTGTGTCGAGTGGTGGTGGGTTTAACGTGTTAAACTGGCTTGGTGTGTAGGGATTACTATAACTTAAGGCACTACCACTAGAGTGCAAGGCACATAAATTAAGACTATTCTGTTATCGTCAATTATATTCCTATAATCCTATGAGCAGGTTTGAACACCATCACACACACACACCACCATGTGGAAGACAAAATAAGACGAGATGGATGTAGTGTACCAAAATTCCCAGAAGAACGTTCCTGACTCTTCTGGCTGAAATAAAGCACTGAGCACAATTTATAAAGTGTCACCACACGACTCAAATGGAGATCTGCGGGACTTCCAACTGATGCAGAAGGCCCCAACAGTGGTTGGTGACACATTTCTCTGCACCAGCAAGAGTCCCGTTGTGGCTTCTCTTTAAATTGCTCTTTCAGTCACAGTGACAGGAGCGATGGTTCAGGCTCACCTCTCTTCCTTCCCCTCACAGTAGCAAACAAAATAGCCCATTCCTTTTCTGTCTGTCGAGTGCTGATTGAAGAGCATTATTATGTTTTAAATCTCCTGGCTTCTTTACTTTTCAGCCTTATAAAGTAAAGAAGCAGCTGTATATAATCATATCCCTTGGGAGCAAGGCCATGGGTCCTTATATCCGCAACTAGGTTGTTGGGGGGCGCCTATGGCCTATGGCGCCCCCAACAGACTGGTCAAGTAAATCCTTACAATCCACTCGCACAGCTTGCGGTGAGCCTTCATCCAGCAGTGGATTTAAGCACCAAAAAAAACTACAGTACTAATGTAATGAGAACCGTGTGTATATGTCCGTACGTTATAGATGTGTGTGTAGTGCACCTGTGTTTTACCGTTGAAAGTATTATTGAAAACTATTATTGTAGAGTACTGTAAAAATAACGCGAACGGCTTTGCTGTACTTGAGGACTTTCAATAAGTCGAATAAGAGCGGCTTTACGCGGCTTTTACTTAAAACTTTCACTCTACATAACCTTTTTTGACGATCCCGCGATGTAACTTTAATGTGAATGAATGAAAATGTATTTAAACTTTAGTTGTGATATTTACATTCACTTCTAAGAGCTATGACTTATTAATAACTGAAAGAACTGTTAGGATTATTTGCAAGGTGTTATCTTAAGGGGTCTTATGGAGGGGGGGGGGTCTCCCTCCCCCTTAGCCCCCACCCCTATCGGCTCGTGAGTGTGGTGGTAGATCAGCTGCCCACAGCGCCTTATTACGGCGCAACATCACCCGGGGGGCGTACATGTTTGTGAAGGGCGCACCTCTGGTTGGCTCCTTGCTCGTGGTCACGTGACGCACTTCGACCAATCCGTGCCACGTTAATCACACAATGACAGAGTCACAGAATGACGGAGTGACAGAATGACAGACCTGTAGTTAGCCGGGTGGTCACCACCTTAGGTTATTATCGTGTTAAGGGGAAAGTTTACCCCGTGTGTTGGGACTAAATAAATGCGCTGCCTCCAAGTCTAAGTGTGCGACTCAGTTGAACCCACAACACTTGTATCAGACGTTACCCTCAACATTACGTCCCGACATCGTCATGTAACGACGTGTTCCTTATCTCAGAACTGCCTATGTACGGTGTTCTTATATCAATTACTAGCAGGAAATACCCAGCGTTGCCCGGGTACTTTTGTGAATGTAAAGTGGCTCAATCGTTTTATTCATGTGGGGTTCAATGGCGTTACAGGAACTCTTAAGATGTTGCTGTGCCACAGGGACTGTAATAAATGTAAAGCAACGTGCCACAATGGGGTACCAAATGATATAGCGATTGCTTTAATGGTGTGGATTTGTATTCGGAACAGACAGACAGACTTTAATGTGTGATATGCTGTACTATTTGAAAATCTGCTCATACAAATTAATGGACATTGGCACTTCAGTGCTTTTTTCATTACTGTTCTAAAAGTTTGGCTATTCTAGCAATGTCCTTTCCTTCAAGCTTAAATTTGAATGCTGACTCCTGCACCATGCTCTCGGCTAGGGTGATTTTCTTACGTGCCAGTATCTCCACCCCATTGTTACGTGGCTGCTCACAGATATAGGTACAGATTTTTTTAAAGTGAAAAATGTTCCTTTTGTGCACGATACGATGCTTCATTTAATCCCCTGTTGTTCCATTTGTCTCTTGGATCACCCCAGAGTCTTCCCAATGTCTACTCATGTATTTCAGAATAACATCTTTCACTTTGGGATGGCCTACCAGGGCTTGGAATTCACAGTGTGTGCTTAATCATAATTGATAATATTGCCTCTTTGGTGCCTTAATGTCTGTGATAGCACCCAGGCCAAAGCCTTTGTTACATCAGGAATGGGAACCCCTTTGGTAACACTGACATACAGCTAAGAGTTAGTCATTGATGTCAGTAAAAATTGTGTATGTGACAATTTTTTTTATTTCAATAAGCTGGAACCTTAACATTGTTTTACTTTGCCAGCCTTCTAACAGGTCTTGTGATGCTTGTCCGTGTATTAAATGATCATCTGCCTTTGACAATGTGTATTTGTAATTCATTCACGACCGATAGCATCCAAAATGACCCCTCTTATGAATGTGTACTATGTATATCCCTCTCTCTATCCATCACTGAAAGAAGGCTTCTCCATGCCTTGTTGGTCATAGGGGTGGGTCTGTTTGATTATACTTCACCATGCAGGTCATTGCGAGTTGGTGAAGGTGGTCGGTGGGGGTGGGGGAGTAGGTACGGTTTGTTACCTTGCATGGGAATCAATCACAGACCGCTGGGTTCATGGCACGGTGCGCAAACCACTACGCCACTGCTACCACTGAAACTTTTCAGCTCGTTGAGAAGGCAGGTGGACACTTGAATAGTTAGAGGACCCAACCCTGAGTCACTTTGTGCAGGTGATTACTTCCTCTCCTTTGATACTTCTTTTGGGGATTGCCACAGCTACGGCTGCTGCAAAAAATACCATAGAAGTCTAAATCATGCACAGAGGTAGACCATTGTGGATAACACAATACACATTCCATCTTGAAGAATAACTACAATTGAATTGGTGAATCATAACACGTATTATCATTATTAACGATGATACATGTCTTCTTGTCAAAAGAGGCAGTGATGCCTAAAGGACTATGCCACTTATTGTGGCACAATGATTAATTGATTAGTTTGTCCTGAAAAAAATACATTATTTTAGAGAAGACAAGGTCATATCTAATAGTTCAGGAATATTCTGCAATATATGTGTAAGATAAAATGAATGGAAATGCTTTTGTATTAGTTTCCATGTTTGCACTTAAACTCAAAGATATATTTTCACGTAAGAATATCACCGCCGTGCGTAATAAGCTGCTGTTTGTACATGGTACAATATGAGCCCTGGCGTTAGTGTTTTTTCTGTTTTTCTTGCTTCAGAAAGACAGATTTGTCAAGCTTTTGGATCAGCTCCACAACTCTCTCCGTATTGACCTGTCCATGTATCGGGTGAGTCCTTCGTCCTGTCCACACCGTCGATTGCTTCACTTTTCTCAGGGTTAGCCACCCTTGTTTAAGGAAAAGGAAAACTACATGCAAACACACACTCAAATAAACCATACAAAATATAATCGCGAGAGGTTTTTGTTAAGTGTGTTCAATAGTGAACTGCTGTATTCTGAACAGTTTTTTTGTATGCAGTTAAACCTTGGCTGGCCGAGCAAATAAGGGAGGGGGGGGGGGGCTGGTCCGGCAAGATGAACGATGCGGCTTGCCGCTATTGGGAACCCCACGTAACAAATCAACAACAATTCTGTGTGCATGCGCACATGTATTCAGTGTGCCCAATGCGTGTGCGCTTTATCCTATGAACCAAAAAACAACAGTGCTTGCTGGATGTACTGTATTCCGTGTTATGTGCTGTATTGTAGAATTGTCTATAGGTCCGTGCAATACTGTTAAGTCGGTCCCTCCATCTCCCACAAGCCCTCATTGCCACGATTATGTAATGCACACCAGAAACAGAACAAAACAGGTAAATTGAAGTTGTCATCCTACTCAAATTACATTGGGGCACTGTTTATCTCAGGGAACTGTTAATATAATTACAAATTCCTATTGTGGGTGCTGAATTTCTAGATTCACCACCTATATATCTCAAAGTAATACTTAGTGTATCGACTGCAGAGGGGTTATAATTTTGGTGGATCTCTTACCATGATTTCATTTTTCACCTTTTTCAAATTATGAGTTGAGTGCACTACCACAGCATCAATCTTACACATGGTGGAGCAGCTTCAGAATACAATGGATGGTTGTAGGCAAATTAGTTAATCTATTCATGGTAAAATATTAAAAAATTCAGATCGAGAAAGTGACAATATGATATTTTTTATTTGTTTTACATCTGGGCTCTGTTCATATTGCAGTTCTTAAGTTAAGAAAATCTTATATAAAGCATTTTTGGCAGAAAATACACTGGGTCAGTTTGCATTAATACATGTTAGATTTAAGCAGACAGGACCATCATGTGACTCCAATGTTGGCATGGCTTCAGTAGCAATATAATCATGATCTTCAAGTTCAAATCCTGGTTGAAAAATTTAAATTCCTTTGGGATCTACAAAATTCGTACTTCGTGAGTAAATCTCCAGTGGTATTGCTATGGACTTGCTCATACTGTAGGTAAGTGCAATTTCAACTCTTGGCTCAGGGCTGTCAACAGGAGATGGGTATTACCTACCTCAATGCTCAATTCAGCAGGAAATCACTTTGACTTTTGTTTACCTACAAAATTGTGTTTGTGTAGTTTGTTGTCCTTCCTCTGCACCTCCGATGATTAGCACCATTGGATATGTACGGTCTGAAAGAAGTTCAACATATATACAAATTGAATAAACCTGACATGCCGTTAAATTGCTTTTTTGGGCTCCCAATTGTTCGTTCTCCACTCCATGTGTGCACATTATTAGGCAAACCTTATTTACTTTTCCATCATTATATTCCTTTATCTTGAAAATGTTTTGGCAACCTTGGATAATTATTTTGGCATACTGCATGGATACTGCATGGTGTGGCGAGAAGTTATCTCCCTCACCTGATATGCAGAAGGTCGTGGGTTCGATCCCAACCCTGACACCTGTATATTTGGAGTTTGCATGTTCTCCCTGTGGTCGCATGGATTTCTTTTCTAGGTAACTGGTTTTTAGATTGTTTAGATATTTTTGGCTGTTATACATTTCCACATAAGCCACTTTGTTGAGCTATCATTTGTATCCAGGTCGCTTCTGAAAAAAATATAAAAAGCTCAGTGAGCCTTGCCTCGTAAGTCCACAGCAAAACACAAAGAGTGCCTCCCTGGACTTGTAACAGCCCCCTCATTGCAGTTTGGCATGGGGAGAAGACATCTTCCAGATCATCTATAAGCTGGAGGCTTTCCAGTTCAGATACAAGCAGGAAGCAGCTGCTGGTTAAGCATGGCAATAAAATTAATAATGGAAATGCTTGCTGCAAAAATGTCTGAAATTTGTGCTGCTAATGACTCATTGAAAAAGGCTGCCCAATGTTCTGGCAGCTGAGAGGACCATTGACAGATTGCACACCCAAGGCACATGTATCCCAGCTAAAACTGCACAGCTTTCATTGATCATTTAAGAGTTTTCGTCAAGTCACCCTTTGCTCTGTGTATCATAATCTACCCCCTAACTTTTAAGAGCAAGATAGTTACTAAGTGTTGGGGGGGGGGGTTATTAATCACATAGAGACACAGAAACACAGACATAAAGAAACACGGGGAGAAGGAGAGACATATTATGCAGAAATAGAGATACACAGAGAGTCATGGAGCGAGACAACAAGATAGAGACACATAAGAAACGCAAAAATACATGACGAGCAACAATCAGACACAGAAGCGTAGAGAGGGACACAGAAAGACACGAACAGACATAAATATATAGAGAGCAGTGCACGATGTTAAATTGAGGCCCCAGTGCTGCATGTAGTGGAGAGAAAAAGGGAGACAGAGAAAGATACAGAGAGATGAAAAGTGATATCCAGGCGTGTCTCGCTTAACAACAAGTGAGATAAGTTCCGTAAAATTTGCTCAGTAAGCGAAAACCCGTGAAATATTTTTATTAAATAAAGTAATAAATAATCGAATCTAACACTTATCACACATGAAGAACCACAGTGCTTGCAGGTGCCTGACACTTATGTTGTTTGACAGGCAGATGTTAGTGGGTCGGGGGAGCAATAGGGGCCATGCAGGACCGCTGGTTCAAATATCACTCGCCACTGATGCTAGCCGTGGCTCGGAACTGACCCAGGTCTGATGGGTTCATCGTCACGATGTAGTAATGTGAGATGGAGCTCGACCTCCTGTCCTCAGCATCTGCAATTAATCAGCACTGCCACCCACCCATTACAGTGCCACCAAGAGGCCCCCTTCTCCCACACAACGAAACATGCGGGCACAGTACAGGAGAGCTGGTAAACAAACAGCTGTGGCCACCGCAGATCGGTCTCAGCTCGCTAAGCAAACATTCGCTCGTTTTGTGAACAAAAGGGTCTACATTCAAATTCCTCGTTATAGCAAATTATCATAAAAAATAACGCTTATTAAGCAAGACACGCCTGTATAGGGATACAGAGAGACACACAGCAACAGAAATATGTAGAAAGATAAAGCCGACATCCTGAGAGCCAGTGATACACAAAAACACAGACACGGAGTAAGACACACAGACATGGAAAGAGAGGAGAGATAGAGCCACGGATAAAGATGCACAGACATAAATATATATGGAGACAAACACAAAGACAAACCAAACAGATACATAGAGATACAGTGAGACATGGGGAGATACACTGAGAAAGATAGAGGTCATAGAGAGGGGGACATTAGAAAGACAAACAGATGCAGACAACAGACAAGTAGGCAGAAAAAGAGACAAGGTGATACGTGGATACACAGAGTGAAAGTGAGATATATGCAGAGAGGACACCGACATAAATCGGGTGAAAGATAAAGAACCGTGGAGAGAAATATAGCTTTACACAGACACAAGATGACTGAGAGACATGGAGAGGGGCACAGGGATATACAGATAGCCATGGAGAAAAAGACACAGACACAGATACATAGCAAGAGGCAGAGAGATGCATCGACACAAAAACAGAAATATATTGGACTATCAAGCCCTGAAAAAATATACAAATTTGAGTAAGATCTGGCAAACCCTCTCCCACAACCTGCATGCTACCCGGCTCCTCGAACCATATCCACATACAGTAAAACCTTGGATTGCGAGTAACTTGGTCTGCGAGTGTTTTGCAAGACGAGCAAAAAACGAATTATGCTCGCAATCCAAGGTTTTACTGTAAATGTAAGAGACACAACAACATTTCATGCAATTAGTGGGCTAAGGACGATACCAGGGCTACAGACTGGGCCATATCATGTGCCCTATACGGATGGACATATGACTGCGGCGGTGGCAAGATGAGACAAGAATCAAAAGAAGATTCACTCTCCCCATAAAAAGTGTTGTGATTGTTGTATTTATATGTCACTTTATTGTTTATAAATATATTGGTTGGTCTGTGATGCCTTACCATGTCCGATTCCACCATCTGTTTTTCTGGGGGCTTTATGTTACACGAATCAAGAATTGCTTGCTTTTTAAAAATCGTGGTTTTCATGATTAACAAGGATGACTGTATGCTGTTATTTTTAAGTGCCAATAACAGTGATATTACTAACATAATACGGGAATTTTGATTTAAAGCTTTCGTGACTGCAGGGATTCATATTCTTGGTTCTTTCGGTAAAATTTTGATTTAAAGCTTTCGTGACTGCAGGGATTCATTTCTTGTGACTTTACCGAAAAAACCAAGAATATACGGAATGATAAAAGTCAATGGCAGGTCATTTTGTCTGCAAATATATGTAATTTCGTAATAATTATGACCATAGATTAAATATTTGAATCGAGTACAATGTTACATTGCAAACGTGTCAGAGTGTGCCCAACAATAAGCTTTATATGTAGCTGTACATCAATTATGTAATTTGGTACAATTACAAACTGATGTTATTGGAAAAGTCATATATGACCTTTATAGCCAAGTTAAAGCCCATTATTCGATACAAACTATCGTACTCTATTGCATCTAATAACTATGGGTAAAAATGCCAGTAAATTTTAATTGATCATTTTCTCCTTGTGCCTCGGAGTTGTTCTTTTTGAGGGCGAGCGAATGCTGTGCATATTACAAGTTGACATTGTTATTTTCTTTTCATTATTTTCTGCAGAATAACTTTCCAGCCAGTAACCGAGAGAGGCTGCAGGACCTCAAGTCCACTGTGGATCTCCTCACCAGCATCACGTTCTTCCGCATGAAGGTAAGATGGCTGCTGTGACTCAATCTAAACCAAAGCACCATGTACACTCCTGATGGCAACTGTAAAATACAAATGGTATAAAAGATGTGCCCCAATAATTAAACAAATTGAACAATATTCCACTACAATCTCACGAAAACGTGCAAAGATGGTTGAACTAACATTGATTGGGTACCATGGTTGCAAGATTTTAACTAGCTCGCCTGGTATACAGGAAGTCACGAGTTCGATTCAGACCTGACGCCTGCATATATTTGGAGTTTGCATTTTCTCCCCATGCTCGCGTGGATTTTTATCCTGGTCCGCCAGTTTTTCCTTCCACATTTAGAATGGACGTGCGTTTCGAGTATTTGGCTGCTATAAATTTCCACACGATGAGCCACTTCGTTGAGCTATCATCTGTGGCCAGGTCGCTTATGAAAAAGAGCTACGTAGCTCATTGGGCCTTACCTGATAAAGTTTAGTTATAGTTTAGTTTTACACAAACGCTATCTGGTAATAATTAGGACAAAGTACATTTAAACATACATTCACAGAATATACACAATTCTGTGCCATTCTTGTTTGAAATAATACCAAATATGCATTGCATTTCTGCCTCACCTGAGATGGGAATTGCGTATAATGGAAGGGGAAAGGCTGCCTAGAATGTTTTAACATGGTGTGAAGAAGGGCATGCTTGGGATTAGAAATGAGCAAGTAGAAGGAAATTATACTTGGAGGTTCTATGATAAGTGGGAAAGTGATTGGGTGCTGCAGGAGCTGGCGTGGCTGTGAAGATGGGTGTATGTAAAGGGGATGAGTTATAACGGTTGTGCTGAAATTGATAACTTGGTGCAACGATTGGTGAGATGGTGAGTGGTGTTGTTGAATGAGGAGGAACTCATGATTTTTAAGCATGTGTACACAATGTGTGTGTGGATTTCTCGTACGATAAGTTGATCAGGCTTGCTAGTTGTGTCAGGAAACTTATTTTTTGGAATGAAGGCTGGAATTGATTGTTAATATGTCAATATACCACGTGATATTTTGAATCATTATAACTCCCCGAGTTTTTGTTAAACGATGCTACTTTGATGCAATGAAAGTGGCTGTCATTTGGTATGAATGTCTCACTCTTAATATTTTATGTTTTGTAGAGTTTACGTGAAGATAATGGCGGAATTTTATCTGAACAGCCCAACAGCTAATACCTATTTGCCTAGGCATGCTTACAAAATTAGATTTCCACATTCATATTCTTAGTTCTTTCGGTAAAGTCACGTTGAAGGGAAACAACAAAATAATAAAATATATATAAAACAATAAAAATTCTCACGACGTTTTGACCATAACACAAACGGTCGTCTTCAGGTGGTGAAGACGACCGTTTGTGTTATGGTCAAAACGTCGTGAGAATTTTTATTGTTTTATATATTTTATTATTTTGTTGTTTCCCTTCAACGTGACTTTACCGAAAGAACTAGGAATATAAATTACTGCAGTCACGAAAGCTTTAAATCAAAATTTAGATTTCCACAGTTTTTAAGTATTATCTGTAAATAAATTACACTACAATAACAGCAACATTCTTCATAACCATCAGCAATGGTATGAGGATCATCATTAATTTGTCGAAGTGGTAAAGTGTAGATAACAAGCATGAATTTTCTGGCACTGTAAGGGTTACTCCTATTATCTGTACAGAGGCTCAGGTAATAGAGCGATATCGCGTTGATAATAGGAAGAACTTTGGATTAATTTGGCGGGCGGTAAAAGAGAGAGTGGAATATTGGAGGGCGGATAATATGGCTTTGACTGTGTACCTAGACTCGTATTATGGCATTCTGTCATTGTTATTATACTCCATTTTGATTGTTATAATTTAATTGTGCAATGTAGTGCACCATGTTATTACGTTGAAACACCCCTTAGCCGTGAATATGTAAACATTCCAATTATCCATGGCTTTTCCACAGATTACTGGAGTTGTGTGGCAATTCCTACTGTTGCCTTATTTATCTGCAGCTTAGCGCTCCAGTGATCTCCTGCCATGGATAGATGGATGATGGTGATGATGATATATAGGCTGCAATGACGTTTATCATCGTTGTGCTCCTTTGCTGTATGCCGGTACACTGAAGCTCTCCATTAAATAAAAAATACTGGTGCCTAGGGGAGACGTTAGCAAAAAAAAAATGGGGCTTCTAGTATATTACCAGACCTGAAAGGCACGCATTAAATCCTACCAGAAAGTTCTTATAAAAGCTAAAACAGATTTTTTTTTTTACTCTTTTGATTTATATTTGTAGTGGCAATGCAAAGTAAATTTATGTTGCCAAAGCATCGCCTTTTTAAACTCAGAACCTGTTTTGTTAATTCTTACACTGTCTGGTGCGATGAATGTGCTTGTTATTTCTCTGAAAAGTATGAAATAAAACACAGAAAATAGAATTTTGACTCTGCTGTGTTAGGGTTTTGACCACCTACAGCTGATGTTTTCCCCATCAGTCACCGAGAGACAATTACTGCCAACATTGTTCTTGATCCTCTTGCTAAAAGTGCACATCCCTCACAGCCTGTTCACTCTAGTATCTGACAAAGCATCATAGTCTAACGTTTTTTTAATGTCCAGTACTGTTTCCTTAAGTCTTAAAGCAGCTGCTATCACTCCCATTGGAGAAAAAAAATACTTCCGGAGATTTAGCACCCCAACAAGCTGTCACCCGATTCCGAAACTTAATTTCCTCAGAAAAGGATTTGAGCTGTAATTTTATCCCACTTATCCACTCACCTTTGTCTCGTTCAAGGGCATTCAACTGAAACAGCCTTTTTGCCTATAGTCAATACCCTTCCTCTGTAGTCGGTGGTTCTTTCTTCACGCAGGCTCTTTTACACCCCACTGCTGCCACTAATATCAATCATTCCATCTTGTGTAATGGCCTACTCGACTACACTTTTTTCCTAGGTCCACTCCGAATTTTCATCCCACTCTTTTCGTGTCTGCATGAAAGGGTTCTCCTCGTATTAGATTCACTTACACTTATGGTGTTCTTCGAGAGCCAGTCATCTGTCCACTGCTCTACTCCAATCTCCTCCCACTTGGCAAATTATTTCTGGCTTCAACGTTAACCGTAATTTCTATGCTGATGATACTGTGTGTTGGCATTGACTGCAATGTTTCAACTTCACTACCGATTCTGTCATCTTTCCCCTGAACTGTTCATTCATCAGGGGTTCATAAAATGCATGCGAGTTAGTAAAATTGTATCATTAATGTCCCATTGATCAATTGAATTTCCCCATTATCTGAATGCAGCGTTGTGGCACACTGTTTGCAAACGATTTAAGGCACAGTAGGCCCCACACGGAAAGGAGAATTGTAATGTGTAATGATTTAATTAACAAAATCTCTAATGTATGCATCCTTAGTAAGAATGAGAGGGGTGATGATTTGGATGGAAATCGAAGGGCAAAGGTGTGGTAAAAATTCGGGAGTGTAATTTGGAATGAACTAGTCGATAGCAGAAGAGAGGAGGAAGAGCTTCAGTCTGGACTGAGAGGGAGAGAATCAGCAGTGCAGCCAACTAAAGGGAGAGCATTCCAATTTAAAGGGCCAGCAGAGGAGGAGTGACCTCCCAGTTTAACGCTTAGGGGGCTTTCGCGACCATTATCCATAATATAAGTTTTTGGGTTATAAATGCGTCGTTAAATCCGCCACCACCCGACACAGCCAAATAATAAGGGTTGTCACGCAAACAAAACATGCCAATTCGTTACGAGTACAGCACACCGGTGTGATGGAGAGTAAAACCACAACATTTGAAATTCGAGTATGACGTTTTAACCTTTAATTACAACTAGTGTTATCATCAGGTGATAGCCAACGTTTGGAGATTGTTTTTGGGTTCCACCAAAATGCGTGGAGTGACATGTAGGAACGGGGGAGTAGAGTGAGAGTGCAGGAGAGAGATAGGCTGGAGGGAGACAATGAATGATTTAAAAACTGTGATAACAATATTTCAGTTCTTAGCTCTTTCGATAAAGTCACGTTGAAGGGAAACAATAAAATAATAAAATATATATAAAACAATAAAAATTCTCACGATGTTTCAACCATAACACAAACGGTCGTCATCAGGTGTGTCGGTTTGCATTTATTTATTTTTAAACGGTGTATTTACACCGTGTCATAGATGGACTCGTCCTTCTAAATAAACTGTCAAATCGCTGCGCATGGCGCTGCCGTTTAAAATAAAAAAAATAAACACGCCGTTTAAAAATAAATAAATAAATGCGGACCGGCACGCCTGATGACGACCGTTTGTGTTATGGTCGAAACATCGTGAGAATTTTTATTGTTTTATATATTTTTTATTATTTTATTGTTTCCCTTTAACGTGACTTTACCGAAAGAGCTAAGAATATGAATTACTGCAGTCACGAAAGCTTTAAATCAAAATATTTCAGTTGCTTATATATTGAATTGGTAGCCAGTGAACAGATTTGGGACTCGGGGACATGTGGTAATTTTTGCAGATGCAAAAGGTAGACTGATGTTTGGATCATCTGGACTTTTCCATCAAGGGATATATGTCCACCTTCGAAGATTGTCAGTGAGACAAGAAAAGAGCATTGCATATGCTTTCAGTAGCAGCAGGGGTAAGAAAATTGTGGATACAAATATATGTAATGGAAGGGAATAGATCCTGCAAGATTATGGACATTCTTATTAAGCATAATGTCATAATGTAATTACCGTATACTTTAACGGGGGATATTATATTATTGGTTCTTTCGGTAAAGTCACGTAGAAGGGAAACAAAATAATAAAAATATAAAACAATAAAATTATCACGACGTTTCTTGCAAGAAAATTTCTTGTTGTGGTTTTCACACCTGATGATGATTGCTTGTGTTGCAGTCGAAACGTCGTGAGAATTTTATTGTTTTATATATTTTTTTATTTTATTGTTTCCCTTCTACGTGACTTTACCGAAAGAACCAATAATATAAATCCCTGCAGTCACGAAAGCTTTAAATCAAAATTTAACGGGGGATGTTGATGAAGTGCAGACTTCTTGCCAATAAATCTTGGTTACGAGATATTCGGCTGGAAACAATTTGAAAAGATCCAGGTTGAGACAATCAGGGTGGAACGTAAGCTCCAATATTGAAGTATAATCAGTAGGGTCAAAGGTCAATCCAGTTGGAACTGCGCTCTAGCTTTGTGACATCATCAGAGATTGTCATTGCCCTGCTTCCATATTCTGATTGGCCACCGCTTTCTGTTTGCAACGGTGGCCCCGCCCTTTTCCTTTTTGCAGATTTGCAGGAAATTGCGTTTGTTTGTTGAGTCCGATGTTTTTTTTTTCCTCCAGAGATGTGTTATATACTGCTGAACAGAAGATTAATTAAACAAACAACAACATTAAATTCTCGTCTTCTGGAACCTGGTCCCCAGTGTATTTGTTGCACCACTTAGTGGCAGAACACAAGCACGCAATTAATCAGTCATTATATCACCACATGAATCGTTACTCATTCTTATCATGTGCAGCCAATATCACTCAAATATGGGGCTTTGGTCGGATGCAGCCATTTATTATGAGCTCAATTGTGATTGCTTTGATAAAAGACAATAATTTAGTAAATGCACTGCTATTAATTTTCAGTATATTTGTCGTCATTTTAATACAACTTGTGTGGTCTGCATGACCATCATGATGTATGCTACAAATCATTATTAGACTTGTTTATATATTTAAAAAATGTATTCAGTCTTTGATTGCATACATAGTTTGCTTTCTATCGTTGCCATTGTTGTATGCAATCATGTGTGTTTCAGGAAAACGTGTCAATAATGATTCATGTATAATAGAGGTTTTTTTTGGGTTAGATCACGTATAAATATATAAATGTGTAATTAAACCCGTCACCACCCGACACAGCCAACTAGTAAGGGTTGTCACGTAAACAGAACGTGGCCAATTCGTTACTAGTACAGCACTACACCGGTGTGTTGGAGAGCCACGCCACAATATCTACAATCTGAGTACGACGTTTCGCCAGTAATTACAATTAGCTTACTAGTTGAATGTGTCTGGTGGTGGCAGGTTTTAACGACGCATTTATATATTTACTAACCCAAAAAAAACTCTTACGGATGATATTGGTCGCAAAAGCCTACGTGTTAAAATGATGCATGTGTTTCTAGGTACAAGACCTGCAGAGTCCCCCACGTGCCAGCACTGTGGTGAAGGACTGTGTGAAGAACTCACTCAGTTCAACGTATGAATACATATTTGCCAACTGCCACGAGCTATACAGCCAAGAATACCAATCTGCAGACCAGGTACCTTAACCATCTTTTGATATTATTGCTTTTTTTGACAAACAGTTGGAGACTATTTTACTGAATCTGAAGATTGTCACTTTGTGTCGTCAAACTCTCCAGCCTCTCAACTCTCAAGGAATAATGGAGTGGTTGTTGAGAGAATGGATTCGTTAATCTGCCTAGGCAATGTGTTTATAGCCAGCGTTTGGTGTTAAAACTCCATTTCAGTATAGCAAGATTGTAGTTTTGTTGGCTGGATAATTCTGTGTGAAAGCTGCCTAACCACACAAAACGTTGGGTCTTCTCGGCCACAATCATGTCGTCTCTTCTGTTCCTTGCAAATTGTGGACCTCTTGACTGGACATGACACAGGCCAGGGAAGGGATTGGCTGATATGTTATGTATGTTGAACTTCTTTCGCACCATACGTAGCCAACCATGCTACTTGGAGGTGTAGAATGACTTGGAGCTGAGTAGACTTGCCGATGACTGGTACTGGCAGTATCAATAAAATATCTCAACTCATTACCACTGCCTTATAAGAAAAATATATGAAGCAGTATTATGATAATAGGTTTTTTTACCCTTTTTTCTGGCAACAAAACTGATACGTTTTTACAAGGAATCATGTTTGCATTAACCACAATACCTGCGGTCAGAATGCAAACAAAAAACAACTCTGATAATGTATGCATTGTCCTTGAAATTGATTGGTCCACACCAGAGACAGCTTTTCTTAGAGGGTAAAAAACCTATTATTATTATTATATTTTGCTACTGGCAAAGGAGGCCTCATTATGATATGTATTATGAATAAATGCCTTGAGCTTTTTTGGTTATTTATGCATGTGCACCACTGCCAACATAGTATGACCAAATAATGTTGCGGCATCAAGATCGACATCTGCGTAAAGAGCTTATGAAAGATGCCCACTGGGCAGTTGGCGGTAACCACCCTCCAGCACAATAAGGAGCAGAGCGCCGGATGGCTAAAAGACCGTGAATTGATTAAGCGGGGAGCGCAGGTGGTGCACCTGCCACTCTCGTCAGTCGGTCATTTAACACGTAAAACCTGGATTTGTCCCCGCGACCTGCCAATGAGCCTTCAGCACTGCATGTAGCCCCAAAGTATACCTAACCTGGCATGAGCACAATAGAGATTTTTTGTTGTTGTTATTGTTTTGTATATGCGTGTCACTATAGCTCAAATGGTGTACGCTGAGAAATATGAAGATGCATGATCGGTATACGATGAATTGATTATATGCAGAATATTAATGAATGCAAAGGGTAGAGTGGAGTGGGGGGTGGAATGCAAGAGTGAAGGCATACAGCACATTTTAACTCTTCCATCATGGTCATTTATATTCATCAACAGTTGGCAGCCCATGCCTGGGGAGCAAAACACAAGGCCCATGAAGCCACAGTAATTTTAGTGTGTGAAATGCTGCACACCGCTCTGCTGTGGTAAAGCCGTTTAGAGTGAGCTTTAAGAAAAACTATACTTAAGGGGACCTTATTGAGCTCCCTCAAGTACAAAAATACAATAAGATCTTCTTTAAGCCATGATCCAATTGGGAAATTGGAAACAGAGAGGGTGAGGGAGCCTGCATAATTCGCATGGGGATACAACACACACAAAAATAACATTTCAAAAGAGCAGTAAGCTACGAATATTATGTAAGAGTACGACACATTTTACCTACAGAAATGCTTACATTTTAAACATTAAATCTTGTTTATGTGCATAATATAAAATATTCCATGAGAGCATATCTGCAAGGTATACTGTATTTGAAGCAGTTTATTACAGACTTGTATAAACACAGTGGATTGTAAATAGTGTAATTGCGTATGGTTTGTGTTACAGTTGCATATATTCTCATTTTCGTGAGATAATGGAGGCTCTGTGTTTCCATGATAAACAGTTAAAGGGTTCCCTCTCATTCTTGCAACAAGGTGATGAATCCCAATACTCTTTAAGACATTCCCTGAAAAGGAAAAAAAACTACCAAATCATTTATTACACTTATGGTAACCAGGTACAAACCTCTAAGTGAAAAGAGTAACACATTTCATAGCTTTAGAGCTCAAGGGTTAAACAAAAATAATTAATTCTAGATTTAAAGCTGTCGTGACTGCAAGGATCCATACTCTTTGGTTCTATTCGGTAAAGTCACGTAGGTAAAAAATAAAACAACAAAAATCACGACGTTTCGGCCACAACACAAGCGGCCTTCATCAGGTGAGGGGACCGGGCTGTCTCGAGGACAGCGCTAGAGTGAAACACAGCCACGCTCAGACCGCGACCTTTAAGCTGTGTGCGAGGAAACAAGGTGCCTTGACAAAGGAATTAGCATGCTAATTTTTATGCTAATTCCTTTGTCAAGGCACCTTGTTTCCTCGCACACAGCTTAAAGGTCGCGGTCTGAGCGTGGCTGTGTTTCACTCTAGCGCTGTCCTCGAGACAGCCTGGTCCCTTCACCTGATGAAGGCCGCTTGTGTTGTGGCCGAAACGTCGTGATTTTTGTTGTTTTATTTTTTACCTACGTGACTTTACCGAATAGAACCCAAAAAATAATTAAGTATATCATTTCAAGCAATTGCAGTCCTTTGCAGCAGTAGGTATACATACATATGCAGAGCTGATGAGTCCTAATCAGGACTCAGAAACTGGTCCACAGCTGTCCATCTCTGCATCACTGTTGCCTGTCAGTCTGTCACTTTTGCTCAAATTTATTTTCATGGTGACCTATTAAAAGAGGACCACAATGGACTTCTTCAGGAACTGCTGATGGTTTTTGTATATTTATGGAGGCTATGTACTTTTTACCCGTTATTGTTCGTCGTTCAAAGCCTATGTTGCCCACAGTCCGTGTGCCACCCTCCTATAATGTTCTGTTACATTCCTGGCAGCTCTGGGTTTTGGGGAATTTTCACACACTCTTGAGTGTGTGCCAGCAGGGATGAAAATCTGCCACGTCAACTTAGCCAGCCGACCTGGAAACCGCAGTGGCTGTCATTCCGAGTGAGGTGGAAATCTGGGAGCTCACTTTTAGTTTCAACTACCTGGAAAAAATGTGTTTGGTGTTAGTAGCTTGGCAAAAACTGAAGTAAACAGCCCTTAAGGCTAAGTTTATTTCGATTTGTTACACGGATGATCCCATGGTGCATGAACACAGCAGCAACAACAAAACAAAGAAATCAATATTGAAGATAATAAGTACCGTACAGGGATCTTAAGGAATATTGCACAACTATTAACTTGTGAGATGGAATTGTAGTGCAAGTGCAGGAGTAAGAAGGGTCTCAAATGCAAAATATCTCAAAGTAAATATTCACTTTTATAATAATTAACTAGGTTTTCTCTCGTGCAATTCGCACAGGACCTCAAAGTGATGTACATAAAGCTTAAGTTATGGAAAAAGCCTGCAGTAAAAACATGCGACTTATAAGACGCAATTTAAAAATTGTCAGACTCAGATTCCCTAGTGGACCGAGGAAGGGAATTCCGCAATTGCAGAGCCTGGCTACAAAAAGCTCTTTCTCCAATACAGCAAAGTCTGGTCTTTGGAAAAATGAGCAGACAAAAATCGGCAGATATAAGTTTTCACAGTGGAATATAAAACTTAGGCAGATTGGTGATATATTTAGGAGCCAACTCATACAAGGCAATAACCGTTAGAATAAGAGGCTTAAAGTCGATTCTATTCTTTAAAGGCAGCCAGTGCAGGGACGAAAGAATCGGAGTAATATAGTCACGCGATTTAGATCTGGTTAAAACCTGGGCAGCTGAGTTTTGCAGTTTATTTAAAACACTATTAGAAATTCCAGAGAGCAAGGCATTTGTAGAAATATAACCTTGATGAAATAAAGGCATGCACCAGTCTCTCCGCATCCAGAAGGGACAGCATAGGTCTTGGTCGAGCTATGTTGCGTAAATAAAATATCGAAATTTTGGTAATATTACATACGTGGGCCTCATGTCAAACTGGGGTCTCGGATAACACCAAAGTTTCTGACCTCAGCGGAAGACCGAATTACAGTACCCTCTATGGCCATCTAAAATCTATCCAATTTACACTTGATGTGGAGAGCCCAACAACAACAAAAGTAGCATTACGATTCAGAATTACCAAGATTTTACAACATTAAAAAAAATATATATATATTTTACCAGATATGGCCCACTGAGCTATATAGCTCTTTTTCAGGGGCGACCTGGCCACAAATGATAGCTCAACGAAGTGGCTTATCACGTGGAAATGTATCGCAGACATATACTCTCAAACGCATGTTTCTAAATGTGAAGGGAAAAACCGGAGGACCCGGAGAAAAATCCACACGATCACGGACAGAACATTCAAACTCCACATATACAGGTGTCAGGGTCGGGATCGAGGCCAAAACCTCCTGTATAACAGGGCAGGGTAGTTAACATCTCGCCACCATGGCACCCTGGTGGCAAGATGGCTTCTGCACCGGAATCATCAATCATGAAGAAATTATTTGCAACCTTAACAAGTGCTGTTTCCATACTATGCATCGCTCTCAATATTTTGCTTTTTTTAAATATCAACCTCATGGCGGTACCCCGGGGTGCCATAGCTACCCCGGCCTCGCATAATGTTCGTGATGCAGTCATTTTTAGTCTGTTGATGGTCGGCGATGCGGCAATGGACTCATCTCGACAAGCTATACACGATGGTGCATACGAGCGTTCAGGGTTTCAGCGCAATCGTCCTCGCTGCGTTTCGACAACGCGGAGTAGCACTGATTTCGGATTGATTGGTACCCCGGTACCCCAGCTGCGGGGTTAAATACACCCCTGGAAAAAAATTGTGTCCCAGAAATAAAATATAATAAATAATTCCTCACTGGGAATTGAGAAGAAAACAACAAAAAGTTTTATTATTTGCACTTAATATATAAATTCTATATGGGTAAAAAAATTCTTTCAAATATCCCGCTAGTGGAAATTACACCAACCTGTATGGAAAATTGTAAAAAAAAATCAAGACTAATGCATGTGTAATCTTAACATTCAAATATCGAAATGCTTCATTTTCTTTTCGCCTGGGTGGCTCAGAGGTCACAGTGCATAGCTGGAATCACTGAGGGCCTGGTTTGGAATCTAAGCAGCTACCTGTGTGTGTAGTGATTTGATGGTCTCAGTCACCAATAACTCTAAAACGTTTTGGGTTTCCACTTAATTGGGCTAATTTGTAGCTCTGAGGATTAAAACATTAGTTTGACTGTCATGTGGCAAATCTCTGTCATATGTAGAGTGGGAAGTGCTGCCATCTCCTCTGTGAGGTCACTTGAAGTGATAATGGAATGGTTACTTCCCATCGTGACAACACAGTAGTGCAATCGGCATACAATTGTAGAAAAAAAATACAAACTTACGCAAACAACAACACTTTCATATGCATAAACACCACTTAAAACGGACAGATGAATAGATTCATATCTCAAACTTGCATATATGCAGGTGTTTTCCTGCCAAACAATGTTGGATATGGAAACAAAAATGTTCAGCATAGAAAAATATGCATTTTTTAATTAAGCAGTACAATTGTCGATAAAGAACACAAAATTTAAAGCTTTCGTGACTGCAAGGATCCATATTCTTTGGTTCTATTCGGTAAAGTCACGTAGGTAAAAAATAAAACAAAAATCACGACGTTTCGGCCACAACACAAGTGGCCTTCATCAGGTGAAGGGACCAGACTGTCTAGAGGACAGCGCTGGAGTGTTCACTCCAGTCTGGTCCCTTCACCTGATGAAGGCCACTTGTGTTGTGGCCGAAACGTCGTGATTTTTGTTGTTTTATTTTTTACCTACGTGACTTTACCGAATAGAACCAAAGAGTAAAGAACACAAAAGTACACGTGGACTAATTTAAAATGTGGGATCGACGGAATTTTGAAGTCATAGAATTAAAATATCCCATACCATTATTTAAATATGTAAAAGGCAAGTTGTGATTATGTGTGTCTGTTCAAAATGTTTAGCGTACTTCCCGACATGCAACAAACTTGACATTTGCCATGTGGGTACTTTCCAGACTGTACACCATGCAAAAATAATAACAATACACATTTTACTTTTTTTGGGGGGGGGGGGGGGCTTAATAATGCATATATTTTTTGCACGACAAGTGAGCTGTGACGTCAAATCTGTCACGTGACCCGCGCATGTGGAAGCGTGACGCATTGTAGTGCAGCGGTTAGCGCGCCGCACTACGAACCCGGCGATCCGAGTTCCATTCCTGCTCACGGCCACCACCGGTGACGATTATTTTAACCGGTCCTGGGCCTCCCCTAGGTCGACTCAGCCTCAAACGAGTAACTGCTGTGGTGTGTGAACATCGCCACTGGGGGGACAAAGGCGGCCGCCCGTGGTGCATCCAAGTCCCGGGCGAAGCCGGGTAATAAAGCTAGTTATTTAATCATTTGACGTGGATAATCGTGTTAATCTCATACCCTGTTTTGTGTGCCTATGGTTCATGCGTAAACAGACCAAAGACGAGGCTGCTCCAGAGGAACACGGCCCCAGCATCAAGAACCTGGACTTTTGGCCAAAGCTCATCACCCTCATTGTCTCCATCATTGAGGAAGACAAAAACTCCTACACACCAGTCCTCAACCAGTACGTGGTACTATTTTACACGTTGAGTTTCGTCAGCGTGGTTTCGTATGATTAAATTACGCAACTTAACATTTCAAACGAAAATATATGTTAACAAAGTAATTACAAAATAATGGTGAACACCAGTTTTTTCGCATGTCAGGAGTGTAAACTTATAAAATGTGAACTGAATTCTTGTCTTTGTATTTTACTGAAGAATCTCAGTCATTTATGCATGTACAGTCATCAGTGGTTTCTCTCTCGGTGAGATAACTACTGTACTCGGTTGCAAAAAGTGTTCACTGTGTACTCACCTCAATCGGCTCTGCAGTCAAAAGGCCCAGTTATTATAGCTACCAAATATTACAATCAGATCTTTTGTAATTATAGTAAAAAATAAACTATTTTAAACATTTTGTTCATATGCTGAGGACTCAAAAAGGGCAGCTGACGAGTGCAAAAAAGTAAAGTTTCAGGCTGATTAATTGGTCAGCATTTGTCTGCATTCATTCATGTGTTCAGGAGGAGGAGGGCTGTGCCATACGGAGACGTTATACTGGTAGGAAACGTAGTGGACTGGAAGCCTAACCGGGATTAATTCACAGGAGGCAGGGGATTAATTGTGTATGTCTGTCCATGTCGGAGGGGTGGGGCTGGATGGAGGGGAGGGCAGGGAGGGGCTAGGTGGGGAGGGGCTGGGTGGGGTGCGGAGGGGCTGGGTCGGAGGGGTGGGGGTGGGTGGGGTGGGGCTGGGTGGGGAGGGGCTGGCCACCCCGTGGTGCCCTTATATGGACTGGAAGCCCAACCGGGATTAATTCACAGGAGGCAGGGGATTATACACTGCACTTTCTGGCGTCGTTTTATAATTATGCTCACTTTTCATTTTGCTTTCTTCTGCGCACGACCCTAACAAGTTTGGCTTAAATATCCGTATATAATTACTTCATAATTACTTCAAAATTTCCTACCAGCACCCTCCGCAGGAATGTGTTACACGTGACAGGCATCATCTGCCCATTAAAGTATACCTGAATGCTCAGTTTATATGTGGAAAGCCAGTGATTGTTGTCAAGTGAAGTAATAATATTTCTTAACAATAACAGAAGTCTTATTTGGTAGATTCCAGAAACAGATAAGCAGGGTCACTCATAAGATGCGTTGAATTATAATCGTATCATTATGGCCATTCCAGGATCGGTGCATATGTAAAATACCTATTTACCTGAGTGGTGCAATAATGTAGTTTGCAGATTATGATACTTGGGGTTGGTTGATCACAAAGAGGGGTTGGTAGTTAACGTAGAGATTGTGGCTAAGGGTTAATGAAGAAACTTGAGATGAGCGGTTCTTCAAATATTGAGGTCGAATCATATAGAGGGGATTAATGGGGTTAATAGTTCACAAAAAGGTTTGTGGTTGGTGGATCCTGCATATATTTTGATATAGCAATTACATATTTGGGCTTGGTGGATTAAATTCAAATTGGTTTGCTTGTTTACTTATAGAGCTTTCTGTTTGGTTTATAAAGTGGAGATTGGGGTTCATGTCTTACAGTTATACTGGGGCTGGTGATTTGCAAAGAGATTCGAGATTAGTGAATTATTTAGTTAATGGAGTTGATAAATCTCTCAGCACTAAGGTTGGTGTTTCATATATCGATTGGATTTGGTGGTTCATGTAGAGATACGTAGCATACGCACTGATTCAGTATGAGAACCACCACCACTGAGACAAACATAAGTGCTCAGGTGTGTGTATACAGTAGATATGAAAGGGCCGGTGGATGTTTTGGGGTTGCTGCCTTTTCTCGTGTCTGTGAGGCCTGCGTCCACACAGGTGCATGCGCTTATGTGTGTTCTTGCGTGTGTGTGGTGCGCGTGCTGTGTGAGTATGTAGGCCTTGATACTTGGCGGTACAGGCTGTGTGTGTGTGTGTAAGCGGTGCAGGCAATATGTGTTTGTGGCCGTGGTGGTGTGAGTGTGAGGGGACCGGTCGTGTAGCGGTTAGCGTGTTGCACTACGAACCTGGCGTCCCGAGTTCGATTCTTGCTCACGGCCACGGCCAACACCAGTGACGATTACCTGAACCGGTTCTAGATCGACTCAGCCTCAAATGAGTACCTGGTGCGGTGTGTAAACATCACCACTCGGGAGACAAAGGCGGCCGGGCGTGGTACTGGCCACCTCCCCTCTTGTGTGCCATGCCGGCCTTTGTAAGTGTTTGCTAACAGTACTTGCTCAAACAGTCTGTTAAGGCTTTATGTGGGATCTTTGTTTTTTCGCTAACAGCACTTGCCCCTGCATCCTGTTCTGGCTAACAAGGGGGATCTTTATCTTGTGTCTGTGTAAATTCAGCTCAGATGGTATAATACTGATGAGTGTGTAGATCCACAAGTAATCTAAATGAAAAAAATATGTAGATGCCGCATATTTACGATATTACATTGGAGATGATAGTGGGGAGTAGGATTATGCATTTAACAATGAAATCCATCTATGAGTCATTCATATTCATGAACACGTTGGCAGCCAGTACAATGAGGCGATTTTAGTGTAAGAAATATCACCCTGTTGCCTCTGCCTTACGTTCTCTTTTGTAAAAAAATATATCACGGCCATGTCAATGTCTACTTGTGTATTCTGCTGGGTCACAGCAGACTCCTCTGTTTTTGCAACTGTAAGCTTGTGGTGCAAGGTAATAATCCACAGGTGAAGCATTTCAATCTGGCACTGACATCAAGTTAACAATTTAATACAGATTTTTGTGGAACAGAAAAAAGGGTAAAACCAGACCATCATTATGCAGTTTGATACCTTGGTCAAGCCCTGAGTGGCCGCAGGAGGGATAACAGCTATGTCTTGCTTGTGAGCTTAAGGCCAGATACAGTCGATCATTAGTGGTTAGTCCACACATAGCAAAACTGCAAGGAATTCTATATTGGTGGGAGCACATACAAGACCATAGCGCTATTAAATAGTTGTAGTCTTGCACAGCCAACATCTAAATTCACAGGGACATCATACAGCTTATAAACTCTTCAGGTTAGGCAAGATTTTTGTTGTAAATAACACAGTGGAGAAGCTTGGTGAATAATGGTACATCTTCCAACAAGACTTCTTAACATGGCCTCTGGATGATGCGTCACAGCCAGTTTTGGCAGGCCTTAATGTAATCTTAGCGTAGAGTTCCATTTTGTAAATGGTTTCATTATTTTTTTAAAATAATTATATTTAGAACATAGGGTTGTGAGCCCTTAGATGACTGCATCAATTTACACTGAGTCAAATGCCCTTTCGTAGTGTGCAAAGGCTAGACATAATGGTAATTGATAGTCTTCTTCATTAGTATGTATGTAAGCAAGCACGGCTTAGTTTTCTAAACCCTGCTTGCTCACATACATACTATAAATCAGATTCTGGGAAAGACTAATGAATATCAATTAAAGTGATTGGCTGGCCTCTACAATTTTGGTTATTCTACGTCCAACAATCTTCATAAAACAATTCAGATACACGTGGTAAGATGCTAATGGGTCTGCCATTTTTCAAGCCGGATTTTATCTCCGCTTTGGAAACAAGAATGATTGATGCATCATTCCACGATCGAGGTTTTATTACACGCTGTATTATTTTATTTTAATTACTTGGTTTGTGAGAACTGGGATGACAGTAGCGGTTTCCACTGATTAAAATGCCTTTCATAAATGATAAAAGCCACAATGTATAGTATGAATGTGATAAATGGAGGAAAAGGCTTTCCTAAATCCAGCTGGCTCACGTGGTTGATTGATTGGCCTTTAAAACATTAATAAGTCGGTATGTCATTGAGAGCAATATACAGGAATCCCCCACTGTGTGTAAGGGATGCGTTCCTAGGAAATGCTACTTATCTCAAAATTACTTAAACCGAACTGTCATTCCCCAAAAAATATGTTAAATTCGGGGGTTGCATTCTGACCTGATATTATTGGAAAATAATGTGACTAAATGTCATAAAGTGTACAAACATACAGATTATTATAAGTTGACATACATTTTAACTCATAGCAAATACAAATGTTTTGATAAGCCTTACCAGAGATGGTTTAAGAGCTTGCTGATCAAGGCCTCTTGGGGTGAGCAGTGGTGGAGTTATGCACACTAAGGGATAGGATCACCTTGCCTCTTTATCACCAGAGGAAGCTGGCTCTCCCCGAGGCTCTTCTCAGGATCTTATGGCTTGATTGCAGAACGTTTAAAAAATATGTCCAAAGACAACTGGACAAAAGCGTTGTTTCATGATGGTACAGCTCCTTTTAGCGGTGAATTCCAGTGATTGCCACTTAATATTCATGGTGGTGGTTTGGATTCAACGGCCTTTTCCTCAGCTCGTTCTAGCTGCATCAGATTCTCGTTTGACCGGTCCTCCCCATGGGACTCCTAAAACTGCACCACTTCAGACTCCTCCACCTTGTCAAGTCCAGCTTCCCTGCACCAGTCAAAAATGGCGCATGTTAAAAGAACGCATGTGCGAAACACTTTACAAATCAGGAAATATGTTCCCTCATTCATCAGCAACGTATATGTGAAACAACTCATTATGTGGCTCCTTTTACAGGGGATTCCTATATATACGTGACTTTACCGAAAGAACCAAAGAGTATGGGTTCCCTAATATATTCATCGCGTTATATCCAGTTCGCGTTATGGAAACACGCATTAGAGCAGAACGAGGTTGATGGGTCTGCTATTCTTCAAATGATATCTACCTTTTTTAAAAATAAAATGTTTGCAGCATCATTCCATGATTTAGGTATTCCGTTTTCTATTTACATATAGATGAAATAGTTTCCCTGAATTGTCTTCAAATATATAGTGTCGCTTCTTGGATGTCCACAATTATTCCATCTGGCCTAGGAGCTCTGCTTGTTTCTTACTGAGGCCCGTGTGTTTTTCTTCAAGTGTAACATCTGGAAATTCCTCTCTACATCAGATAAAAGGTTTTTCTTCTGGGGTAGTATGATGTTGTTTTACAGATCTGCATAACAATATTCCACCCTTCTTCCCACTGGTCGCTGATAAATTTAGTCTTTGATTATAATTAAACTTTGCTGTGCTGTGCTTCAGGTTTCCTCAAGAATTGAATGTTGGAAAGGTGAGCGCTGAAGTAATGTGGAATCTGTTCTCCTTGGACATGAGGGCTGCTATGCAAGGTGAAGTATGTCTTATGTCAAAATCTACACAAACTAGCCTTTTGCCTGTCCAATGACGGGTGTATTGCAGTAAATCTGAAACTTGCAAGAGAAAAGCGGACCGCGACGTGATATTCATTGCATCAATGCGCGCGCAATTTGTAAGGCTGCGGTGACACAGACTTATTTCATTTAAAGGTTATAATCCCTTGTTCATCACGACATCCTTTTTACTTCTATGTCTCAATAGCGTTACGGAGATCGTGTGACGTGAGGGCTCTGCCTTTGTAGTGAGGGTTATAAGTTGACGCTGAGTAGGGGGGAGGAGGCGTCTCGCCCGTGTGGAGTGACGTCACCCGCTAACTATTAATGGTGGGGGGTGTCCATTTGGAGGACGTCACCTGTTCATGATTATTAATGAGGGTGGCTGTTCGATGTGGAGTGACGTCACCTGCTCATTATTATTAATGAGGGGGGTCTCCATGCGGAGTGACGTCACCCACTCATGATTATTAATGAGGGGGGGGGGGGGTCCATGTGGTGGATGTAACCTGTTCATGCTTATTAATGAGGGGGGCTGGTCAACGTGGAGTGACGTCACATGCGGGACACAAAGAGATTCTTGACTCATTATAGTAGTTAATAAATCAACTCATAGCTCTACAGTATAATTTTTATTAGCATGGATGCGTAACGCATAAAATGTGCAATGTTTAAATGCACATTTTATGTAGGTGTACTTGTCTGATTGTGCATGCATGAGTTTAAATCTGAGTAAAGTGAATCACGGGTTCACTGGGAATTAACTAGGCATGCACAGAGAGCATCCTGCTGTGCATAGGTGGGTGTGCATTTATTTACTAGCTTCTTTGCCCGTCCTAGGACGGAAGCTGTAATATTTACAAAAAAATTACTTTACCGAAAGAACCAAAGAGTATGGATTCCTGCAATCACGAAAGCTTCAAATCAAGATTGAATTGAGTAAATTTAATGGCAGTGAATCTTGCACAAAAGTATGTCATCGAACACCTAACTGCATGTCACTGTAGCACTGTATATAACTGACCTTCAATTTGTTCAAATTCACTGCTCTGATACTTTATTCTCTTCTGCTTTCGGTCGCTGGGGTTGAAATAAATTGGAAATTGATACAATATCTGGAAAATCACCGATAAATTTATATTTGACCATAATTTATAAGCATAAATTAGACTTACCTTTTGTCTCAAGTGCTGAAGAAATAAATAAAGACACCAAATCCACTTTGTTGCTGCGTATAATTATTGATTAGATTCACTTTCAATAAAGAAACGTCAAACTTAAAGCGAATTTGCGAAAAACAAATATTTCCGCTCAACCTTCTGTGTGAGTGTAAAAATCCATCCGCTCATGAATATGCGGCATGTGGAGTGACGTCACATGCAGGACACACAAACACATTCTTGGCTCTTTATAGTAGTAATCCTGAGTGAATCCAATGAGCGATAAAGCTTTTTCACAAATGTCCAGTTGCAGCGGTTCAGAACGTTCCAACAACAAACAATAAAAAACCCGTTAGGAGCAGAAAGTATATGAAAGGTAAACGAATCACTTTAAAAATATACAAATAAAACTAAACTACTTTTATCTTACCAGATAAAGCCCACTGAGCTGTTAACTTATTTTTGAGAAGCTACCTGACCACATATGATAGCTCAACAAAGTGGTTTATCATGTGCAAATTTTTTGCAGCAAAAATTATCTAAATAATCTTAAGTGCATGTTTCTCAACATGGAGGAGAAAACCAGTGGCTTTGGTAGGTGTAATTATATAATATAAATACACATATGAATGTTTTTGCACGTCTCTGGTGTAGGCCAATCAGTTTCGAAGACAATGCGTATATTGTCAGATAATATTATTTGCATGTTTTTCCACAAGTACGTTGGCTTAATGCAGAGTTGATGCCTTGCAAAAGGGATCTATTTTGTGTTTGAACATCTTAACACCTATTCTTCTTTCTTTCGGTAAAGACACGTAGAAGGGAAACAATAAAATAATAAAAATATAAAACATACAATTCTCACGAATTTTTTTCTTGCTGTGGTTTTCACACCTGATGATGATTGCTTGTGTTGCAGTCGAAACGTCGTGAGAATTTTATTGTTTTATATTTGTATTTTTATTGTTTCCCTTCTACGTGACTTTACCCAAAGAACCAAGAATATTAATTCATGCAGTCACGAAAGCTTTAAATCAAGATCTTAACACCTGTTTCATTGCCAGAAAGGGTAAAACCTATTCTTATTTTTCATCAAACTATGTTTCAGTTTGCATGTCTGCAGACATTTGGTGGCAACATGTTCACCAGAGCAGGGAAGCCCCCAGATCAGGCTGAGGTGCAGCACTCTGCCACTGAGTAAATCAGTGATAGGGCAGCAGTTTGCAGCACATCAGCTGTGGAGCCCAGGTTCTTTTTTCATGTTTTTGTACCAGGGCAATTTTAGTTTGGTCTTTTCACAGACTTTTGAAGGTTAGGCTTCTATCCATATTGGGGTGGTTATCATCTCTATTAGTTACCCTGAGCTAGTGATGTTAGTAGAGATTGATTTATGTGTTATGAATTGGTCTGAGAGAAGGTTTGACTTGGGAAACATGTTGATGTTATTGGGGAGTGGGGAAGAGCTCTACATATATGTGATGGAGGTGAGAGATGCTTGTTGGGATGTATATGTGGAACATGATGGGTTTAAAGGTCAGTCAAGTATATTTGTTATACTATGCGAGAACACAAGAGACAAAAATAGTCGCATTTGCAAGAATGGCCTGGTTCACTGAAAGGACGAAATAAAATCAAATGAGATAAGCAAATAGAAATCAAATAAATAAACTGGCACATGAGAAATACAAAATATTGCACGAACATAAATCATTGTTAAATAATGAATCCCCTCTCATGCAAACCGGCACAAGCAGATTATTTTAACCGGTTATAGTGCAATTACAATTAAGTTACGTAAACATTAAACAGATGGAGGTTGACTCCAGTAAAAATATGTGAAAAGAAAAGGATATATGTCAAATATATTAGGTATTTACACTCAACAAATATACGTACAGTACTGCAGATGGAGATTGGGTGTTTATGGAGAGTGTTGGGAGATGTTGAGAGGATCTCATTACCTGAAGGTTTTCATGGAAATAATGGAATTTTGTTAAGAATACATATATACCGGGGTTGCTCAACCCTGAATTAGCTTGTAATTTTCGAGGATACTATATACATATAAAAAAAAATACCTTGGTCAATAATACTGCCTTAAAACAAAAAAAATATATATAGGTAATGTTTTGGGCAATGGCCCTTCATTGCACAATGTTATTGACCAATGTGTTGAGCTCTTTGTTATTTGTGCTAGTCCACCACTGTTAATGCAGTGTCACCAAATAATCCAGCAGTGAGTATATATCTGGAAGTCACGTATTTTCACTGAAATCACATTGTTCAAGATGTGTTTAAATAGGCAAGAAGTTATTCTTGGAGAGCGATCAATAAACACTTGCGTGGTGTGTGTAGTCCTTTACATTATTGTATAACATGCCAGGGCGATCAGCTGGCATTGGGTTATTATGGTGAGTAGCTGATCTATTGGTTGGTCTAAGGGTTTTGTGGTGAGTGATTGAACAAAGTTTCTGATCCCTTCTATGATCTCGTTATCTGCGTTGTGTTTAAAGAGGTTGCTTTAATCATACTCGAGTAAATCAGGGAAGATTTCTGAAGATTTACTTTATCTTGTTGAGGGTGCCAAATACGAAAATAAACTTTCCTTAAGTGTAAATGTTCTGAAAAGTTTGGGTTGAAGGCGCTTCTCTTTGTATCAGTATGGCAACAACTTTGCCGTTAGTGGATAGACATGAGTGGAATGTCTGTCCCACCCATGATCTGTAAGGTTTTAATGATAAGTGAGCAATATGCGTCTCTTACAGTAAAAACAATGTCTATGCTGAGGTTGTTAAGTTGGGATAATGTCCTTTTAACATTTAGGTACATCATGTTCATAGCAATCAACGTGATGTACATAAATGTTAACCACCTAAATGCTAACCGTTATACATCAAGACAAGTTGTCTTGATGGAAAACTTCAAGTTTGAGTAATTGTAGCTGCTCTTGTGATTGTGAAGAGAGAATCCTGCATTTCGTTGTTGGGTATTTGCGAAAAATATGTTGTTTATCTTTAAGGTGATCATGGAGGTCATGGCAATATGGCAGATATTGCTGTTTGCATTGTGGTACACAAAGGAGAATACGCTTCATTCCTAAGATAATGTCTGGAGGGATATTTAAATATAAATATAATTGATATGTATAAATACTTGCAACAATCAGTACAGCGTGTAAGTCTTCTGTATTATAGAGAGGGGTGGAAAATTTTGAAAATGAGGTTAAAATCAGATTAGTTGTTGGGAGTAAGAGACCAGGAGAAAGAGAGCGTGATGTCATCAACATTGACATTTTTAAACATAAAGTTGTAATATTCTGTACAATTACATAAGGGCCTCAACATTTTAGCTGTGTATGTGGCACATTGACACTCCTTTAAATTGCAGTTAAAATGCGTTTGCCTTCAATGCTTCGATTTGAAAGTCATATATTCATTCAATTATTTTTTTACAAACGTATCAGTTTAAGTAATTACATTCTTATTGAAGGCAGGGATTAGTAAATGTATATAATGATCAAGTGTCTATCCACTGTGTCCATTTCTGTGCCAGTCTCTCAAATACAGACATGAACACAGTAAAAAAATATCAAGAGTACGGTTTGAATGTGTGTTCTGTATCCCCTCAGACAAGATTAATGTGTGCAATGTGAGCTGACTTGTAAACTTGTTTGTATGTGGGTGTTTTTTAAGCTACCACTTTGCATCCACACTTGCCGTGACTGATGTTTAATTTAGTTTCTAATGGATGGCGTTGTTTTTTTTCATTTAAAGAGCACGAGAAGCACAGGCAGTGTAAGAGTGCAGACTACATGAATCTGCACTTCAAAGTGAAATGGCTTTACAATGAGTATGTAAAGGACCTGCCAGCTTCAAAAGAGAAAGTTCCGGAATACTCTGCGTAAGTTCCATAATTATCGTTCTCAACACCATCCATTTTTCAATCAATGTATTGATGCAGGCCTCTCTGGTCAAGGTTTTGTACATCTGTTAAGATCCTTCATTTCCGAATGTACCCTGCTTTTATGCCATTTATTTTTTTATGTGTGTGCTTTTGCTTAAGTTTGCTCCCATTCCGTCACTTTTATTAACCTGGTTTTCTGAAGGTTCGTATGATGTCCCACATGGTTTTTCAATAATTCAAGCATATATATTTTTTTACTTTCTAGTCATTACACGTATGTTTTTGTTGATTATTTATAGTGGATTTTCGATCTTGTAATATTTTGTCATCATATACACTTTATTCCACGTGATGTTGTGATTTATGGGATTGATGGTACATCTTTAAAATAGAACGTTATCTTAATTAAATACACAAGTCAGCACTTAGTATAGCCATTACATTATCAATCGCTCTGTATGAAATTTTAACCATTTTTTTAATGCAATGTTTATTTTCATAATAAAGGTTTTTGGGTTAGATCGCGTTATTTATAAATGTGTCGTAACCCTCCACCACCCGACACGGCCAATCAGCAAAAAAAGTGTCACGTTGACAAAAGACAATTAGTTCACTACTTTAGCCCACCGGTGTGTTGAAGAGTGAATCCACAACATTTACAGTTTGAATACGACGTTTCGCTGGTAATTACATCCAGCATCAGTGGGCAATTACGCCAGAATGGTAAAGCCCTCACTTGCTCCCGGTCTTAAATAGAGCAGCAGGGTGATGTCATCATTTAACTCATTCAGGTGCAGTAATTATATAATCGATTGGTAATCAGTCAATGGTTATGATTAGTAATGAGTTGTAATGTGTTATTGTGAATATATGCTACGTTAGTAAACACACCGGTGGGCTAAAGTAGTGAACTAATTGTCTTTTGTCAACGTGACACTTTTTTTGTTGATTGGCCGTGTCGGGTGGTGGAGGGTTACGACACATTTATAAATAACGCGATCTAACCCAAAAACCTTTATTATGAATAATATTGGTCGCGAAAGCCTACGTGTTAAACTGAATGTTTCTTTTGTCAGGTGATTGTTAACTGTAATCAGATAGCCATACCAGCTCAGGCTGACCACAATATGGCAGTCCATGGGTACATTAACCTATGGCCAGCCTTACTGTTGTGAAAGCTGTTGGAGTATTTTCATATATATTGGTTGCTTTTTGCTTTACTGTTGCTGACATTTCTGAATCGTTTTATTTGTTCATATTTAAATACATAGGTCACATCAAAATGAACACAAGAATTGCTGGCACATTGCAAATCATGAGAGTCCTGCTGAGTGCTGCTGGTTTGGAAACAATTGAATCAGAATAATTTGATCATAAAGCCGTGTGCAGTGATTCGTGTGCATGTCTCATGACCTGTGTCCCCACTTATGCAACCAAAAATGGACAATGACATTTTCCTAGAAAATGTACATTTTATGAACGGAGAAGTTTCTCATCATTGCTAAAGGTGGCAATGACTTGCAACAAAAGCACCCACCTTCATCACGGCGTTATAATTGTTATTGTTATACCTATCGTCATCATTAGAATTTAACTTATACAGAATTTAAATACTACACGCATCTCAAGACAATGCACGGGGAAAATAATTTAAACATAAACCTCATATACAAATATAAATAATAAGACCTTACAAGAAGATGAGTCGCGCAAATGGCGCGGCAGAACACATCACTCCGTACACTGTCGCCTCCAACTGCCAGAACCATGTGCAGACGGTGAATTGTACTGGAATGTGAAATGAGTATCGAAATAACATAGGCAAGTTGCAAGATCGTGCTGTTTTTCATTCAGAGAAGTGTTCCATCGTTATCGATGGTGGCAGACTTTTGGCATAGGCAGTCACCAGAACCATTTTGTAACTGTTATCATAATTATTTGTTATCTCATTCTTCTTTGGTTCTTTCGGTAAAGTCACGTAGGAATAAAAATAAAATAAATTTAAATTGAATCGCGACGTTTCGGGCGCAACACAAGCGTCCGTCATCAGGTGTGACAACCACAGCAAGAAAAGCACAAGCAAGCACCCCTTTTGCCCACTTCAGCAATTGATTGCTGTGGTTGTCACACCTGATGACGGATGCTTGTGTTGCGCCCGAAACGACGTGATTTTATTTTAATAATTTTTATTCCTACGTGACTTTACCGAAAGAACCAAAGAGCATGGATCCCTGCAGTCACGAAAATTTCAAATCTAGATTTTCATCTCATTCTTATTTTCTTACGATCGTTTACGTAACAATGTGTTTTGATATTTGTTAATGTTTTTTGTTGTTGCTGTGCAATGGATGTTCTGGTAACATCCAAATGTTTTACCCCCACAATGGTCTTCATTTATATAGAAATCATGCTTTTAATTTGTTGAGGGTAACTTAAGAACCTCCGTCAATCAGATGAAAGTGCGGTGCCCCTTGGATCCTCTGTAAGTCTTGGTAGCATTACAGGCCATGCGTGCAATTCATCAAAGGGGCAAAGGTGTGACATCCACGAACGGCACAGAATCGTTTTGGACATGTTCACTCCACAAATTATGAAGAAAATAAAAAAAATTTGGAAACCTTTTCCAATCAATTCCTAGATGAAGGCCTCCCCATGTCGTATTGGTCGTTGAGGGTTGTTTGATCGTTCTTCATCACGCTGGTCAGTGCAGGTTGGCTAAGCGGGGGCCAGGACTAATACGGAAATCATGATGTTAGCCATGAGTGGGGTATTGAACTCCAGTCGTTAGGTTACTCATCATGGTGCACTAACCACTGTGCCACAACCTTTGTGACATTCATTTTGCTTTTTTGTCAGTTTCACAGCGAAGTGCTTGTGATTACTTTATGAAGTGAACGGATGAGATTAAGCTTTAAAAAATGTACACTGTATATTTGCTTAAGAGTTTCCACAACACATGGTGAAGCATGGACATCACAGTAGACCACTAGGAAGCGCAAGGACCCATAACCATAGCACAGAAACTTCCATACGAAGGAAGAAAAAAAAGTTGTACTCTCATGGGAGTGTTGGGTGTGTACAATTGGATGGATATAGTTCAGCCTTTGTTATAAAAGTGTTGCACGGCAAAAAATAGTTTTCTCTACTGGGTGGAAAGCAGCATGAAAACCCAGGCTGAATCATGTGTTTTCTCCACGGCAGACACACGCCACTTATGCGGAAAACGAAATCCTGCTGGCAAAAATAAACTCTTAGACAGAAATAGTTTGCGTGTGAAAACAAGTGTTTCCCTTTGTCTGTGTAGGATCTCACCTTTTCATGAAGGTTATTGATTGACCAATATACGATGAATGCTCGTTTCTTCCAAAGCCCTTTGTTTTAGACTATTGTTCAGTCTATCATGTGTGGAATATAATTTAGATTGTTAAATGTCACGTGGTGCTGTGTGTCGATGTTGTAGATGGTTTGAGCCATTCGTACTGCAGTGGTTGGATGAAAATGAAGAGGTCTCATTGGAATTTCTGCGAGGCGCTCTGGACCGAGACAAGAAGGATGGGGTAAGCGAATCCACATATTTTTCAAGAAAAATAAAACGTATATAGTTCAGGGCAATCAAACTATATTTACACATCTTAAATAATACCTATCACCTCAAAATTTATATATTAACTCTAAGTGAAAATCTTAACCTCTCTGCTTGGTTTGAGATTATAAAGTATTAAGTTTATCAATATCACCATCAGCCGTTGTCTATCCTCAGTTGGACGAATACCTCTTGCTTTCACCGTCCTTCACTTTCCTGCAGTGCTACAATCCACCTCACTCCTACACGTGAACTGATCTCATTACTACATTCATGTGATGGCCGTGCTCTTATAAACACACTATCATTCATTCTTTCACTATCATTCATTCTATCACCAGTCTCATCCATTATCCATAAGTCATGTGCCCTGCTCCAGCCCACTTAATTTGTTCAACATTCAACATTGTGACCGTGACTTGTGTTTGTTATTTTAATCCTGTGTTCCTTTTAATATTTTCGTGTTTTTACCCATGATTTTGTGCCCAATTGTCAACTTTTATTGAATTGTAATTACATTTGTCCAAGTATCTGATCTATATTTCATAGGTGGCGGATATTGTTATTACAACAAAACATCCTGTTCAGGCTCAATGGTTTGCTGCCATTCATGATTAATTTCAGTTTTCCCAAACAATTCTATCCTGATTTTGTTCTTATTATATTGATGCCAATCCAATGTCAATTATTGCTCTAGCTATTATAAATTCTACTGCTGTGTTGTGTTTTAAATTGTTTCCCCGATTTATTATTGTACGTGACTCGTTTAACGTTTATTTTTTTCAGTCCAATTTCACCGCCTTCTTTCTTGAATCATTCCTTGTTTATTTAATTGGTTCTTATAACTGGCATCATTGACTCTGAGATGGTGAATACTTATTCGATTTATGATTATGCCGTAATTTTTCCAGTCCCATTGTTGTAAAATATATTTGGTAATCTATTTTGTTATTTATCATTTTATCAATTCACTGATTTTATACATTTCTGAAACAAAAAAAACATGGTTGGACAAAGCCCCTAAATCCATGGGACTCTTTAACATATTTTAAGCCACTTGTTGATGACACCCAATAACAGCAACATTTGTCCGCGATTACTGGATTAAAGCACAATTAGCTCCACGTAGCCAATGCTATAGGTGTGGGATGGACTTTAGTTTTTTGTGATTAGCACGTACAGAGAACCTTTTCCCATTCTCTCATTGTCCCTTTGCTGTCCCTTATCTCTGAACTCCACTCACTGCTATGCCTTCCATAATTTCCACACATCCTCAGTACCATTCCTACCAATGCCCCCTCTTGCTCACACTTAGTATGTCTATAGTCTGTGGTTAATAAAATATCTTTACTTGTAAAAAAAATATGTATTAGCTGCAAAAAGTAAACCACAAGTTCAAAGGATTACTAAAACTCCACAATATGACTAAAGCGGAAGTTGAATGGTGCAACTATTATGCACCCTATTTCTTGCTTGTCTTCTGCAATACAGTTTAACGTTATTGAACCAATCCAGTTGATCGCATACCATACCCTTCACTATAACATATTCACGTGCTATAAATAAACCAAAAATGTACATGCAATAACCACAGCATTGTTTAGCACTGCACATATATTTACGCAGGAAAAAATACAGTTTTTGAAATAGTATGAGTGGGCCGAGAGAAGTTTAGTGGATATGTGGTTGTAAACACTGTGACAACTGGCCAGTGAAAAGGGGCTAATGCACGTGAGTTTTAATATATGAGCTAATAGACGAACTACATGACTACTCCTTGGTTTGGCTTTCCATAGCCTGTATCAGAGCCTTTATATTCAACCCTCAGGGTAGTGAATACGTTACAAGTTACCAAATGTAAAATGGAACACATTGAGTACATTAATTACGTAACTTTGTACAATGGTTTTGGTGGTGGAGGAGACCTGGTATTGATCTCCTGGAAAGTTGTTTGCAGCCCCCAGGCTTAGAGCTGCCTCAACGATGAGCCTTTCACATGTACTCGTCGTGTCAACTTAAATCATGTCAACATAGTTAAGCCTACTACACATGCGTTACAATGCAGGAAAGAATGGAACCACCCACCTTGCTTCCCATTAGTGTCAATGCCATCCACATCACACATTATGACAGTGATGACACCAGACCCAACAGCACGTTCATGTTGGTGTACCGGGCGAGGCGACCCCGAGTTTATGTGAGCTCACGGCGCATTGCCGAGTTATCACAGCGTGTGCACCATGCCTTACAACAGCCACTAAGTGACAGTGATATCACCACAGCGCTTGTGCCAGGCTAGATGCACTTGTAATCGTCACGTGAGTGTCAAAGGCTCGCTACCAGGAGGCCACGGCACAGGCCCAGGTGCTATGGGTTGAATGAGATGACTGGCAGATTCACAAACTGTGCCAGCTTGCTGTATCTTAACTGCCTGGCACTCCTCTCGTTGTTGCGAGTGTCGCTCCTCCGCCCTTTGTTATTTGTTGGAGGGCATCTGCCTCGTAACTGCCCAGTAGCATCCTTCACGAGACTCCTCAGATGCCAATCTTGACATCGCTGGTAATAGTAATTGGAAAGTCCAGTCAGCTTACACATCCTTCTCAGCCCACCTTTTCTCTAGCCTGTGCTGCACAAGTTTAGCTCCCTCTGTCTGGCCAAACAGAAGCGTCTTGGACATGTGGCTGGGCATGAGGGCTACATGACCCAGCCAAAGAAGCCTCGCCACCAGGGCATCTCACTGATGAGACTTTGTAGAGATACTTCAGGGATCTGTGACCTACTCACGCAATCCAGTCTGGTTATACCCACGATGGATTGTAGGCAGGCTAGCATGAATGCTTCAAGCCAGAGAAAATGTTCCTTTTAAAGGGGTCCGCATTTTGCAAGCATGGAGAAAGAAGGGCATACAGTAACTGTGGCCTAGAAGACCCAGAGCTTCGTATGGAATGAAGACCAGGTAGCTTTCATACAGCGTCTCGCAGCTGATGAAAAGATAATGCTGCTCGACTGATTTGGAATGATACATCTGAAACAATGCAGAACTCGCACAAAGACAAATGCACATGCATTACATTCTTAATTTGTCCATTACCTTGTGACTTTACCTATCAGTGTAGTCTTCTTTACACACTGCAGATGTAGTTTAAACAATATACACAGCACAGACTATATACTGGATTATATTTACAGAATATACATACTATACTGGAATTTATACTGCACATTATTTATTATAAATACAGTATATTTATTGTATAAAGTGTACAGTTATATTCTGCATGTGTTATACATGCGGTGTTTATCATAATTTGATATATCTCGTGTTCTTTTGTATTTTATATATTGTAGGCTTTATATATTTTCATATACATCCAGTACAGTATTTAGCACCCATGTCGACATGAGCCTCTTCACCGCAGTACTCAAGTTGACATGGGCCGTGTGACTTGATTTCTTCCACCCCTCAAGTCTCTACACGTTATGCCCACATAACCTCTTCACATGGAATTCACGGCGACATCCTGTGCATGTAAAAAGGTCCTCGCTAGACGACGCATTGAGCAGACTGAACGGCAGAGAAACGTGGAGAAAAAGAGATGTACAGGAATACGAAGCGAGAGAGATGGCAACATAGTGAGAGACACAAATATACACTGAGCATGTATGTGTGTATAGTGGTTAAACTTTACACTAACAACTTTTGTCATTCTTCAACCACTTCTTTATTTTTCGATTTAAAGCTTTCGTGACTGCAAGGATTCATCTTCTTTGGTTCTTTCGGTAAAGTCACGTAGAATGAGAATAAAATAATAAATTGATAAAATAAAATAACACAATAATATTCTCACGACGTTTCGGGACAGTCTCGTCCCTTCACCTGATGAAGGCCGCTTGTGTTGTGGCCGAAACGTCGTGAGAATATTAGCGTGTTATTTTATCAATTTATTATTTTATTCTCATTCTACGCGACTTTACCGAAAGAACCAAAGGAGACACTTCTTTATTTTCATCGTTTAACACGTTCGCCACACTCCACCGTATCCTGGACACCGCGGCTCGCTCGCCGTGCTTCACCCGTCTGGCTCACCACCTTGGTTCCCAGTATCACGTCGCTTTGCTCCGCGCACACACACGTCTTCAACTCTATTCCTACGCTCTCTCCACTGCTGGCTATCCTCCTCAGCTCCTCCGCTATACAGCGTCGTCGCACACAGCGAAACCCAATCTCACTTCTCTGTCTCCGCACACCTCGTCTCCAGCTCCTCTATTACTACGCTCACTCCACTGCTAACTGCTCTGTCTTCTTCAGCTCCGCTAACTCTACGCTCACTCCACTGCCAACTGTTCCTTCTTCAGCTCCGCTAACTCTACGCTCACTCCACTAACTGTTCCGTCTTCTTCAGCTCCGCTAACTCTACGCTCACTCAACTGCTAACTGCTCCGTCTTCTTCAGCTCCGCTAACTCTACACTCACTCCACTGCTAACTGTTCCATCTTCTTCAGCTCCGCTAACTCTACGCTCACTCCACTGCTAAATGTTCCATCTTCTTCAGCTCCGCTAACTCTACACACAGTCCTGGCTTCCAACTCCCAATCCTCTTCAGCTCCGACTCCCCAACTCTCTGCGTCTCCTCCCAATTTATCCCCCTTCACATTATTGCGAATTAATTGGCCCGCGTGCCTCCGCACACAACGCGTCATCCACCACCTGTCTCCTCTCAGCCATCCCGGCGCCTCTCCAGCCCCGGCAACAGTCCCAGCCAATCACCGCCGTTACTTCTCGTCTACCTTAATTGGCCCAACCGATGACGTCACTTTTCAGCTTCTGCACGTGGTGCCTGTCCTAAGGCGACCCACGCTGTTTACGCCTTCCATAGGCTAACCCCCAAATAACCCCACACTGTCCGTGTGATCAATACAATAGCGCAGTTTCCCCAGCACACCTTCCTACTCCACTACATATGTATGAACATATTTCGTGCCGTACGTAGCCAACCACGTTAATTGGAGGTGAATACTTAAGAGATGCAGAGGAAGACATGGTATGGAGAGACAGAGAACTACACAGTGGCATGTAGACACAGAAAGATATATGGAGCGAATTAGAAGCATGGAGAGATACCTGGAGATGGGGAGAGAGCAACACATATATACCCAGACATAGAGACAGGGAGACACAGCAGGAGTTTGCAAGTACGGCCCCTGGGCTGCACATGGTCCTGTATAAACTCAGCAAAAGACAGAGAGACACAAAGAAAGGTATACATATATACAAACACATAGAATCGGAGAGATACAGAGATGACATAGGCACATAGATATGCACAGAAATATATTACCGCAGAGAGATGTGCAAAGAGACATATCTGGACAGGGATAACACAGAGAAACACACACGAACGCATATACACAGAGACACGAAAATACATGTATTAAAAATGCAGAGAGATAGAAATTGAGAGAGACACCCAGAGACACAACAGGGTTATAATTGCAATCCCCAGGCTACTTGGCCTTTGTAGATATGGAGTCACTGAGCAAAACACACAAACACATTACAGAGAGAACCATGAAGACAGAGAGAAGATATATGTATGCAGAAACATGAAAACACAATGAGAGACACGGAGAGAGACATATATTGCACATAGAGAGAGGCATAGAGACACACAGAGAGCAACACATTAAACCTTGAATACGATTATACAGAAACATGTGGAGAGAAATGCCTAGAAAGGTTTTCTAGTGGCCTGGGGCAAACTGCCAGATGGGGCCCCCTCTGAGGATTAATAAACCATTTCTCAGACTCCTTTAAATTTGAGGCTCAGATGTTAACGTATTAAATACAATCAAATAAAATACTTGTACATTATCATTCTTCAATAGCAATACTTTATTGATGATTTTATTACAAGATGCTCCGCAGTGTGTTCTAACCTGGGACCTTTGCTATCCAGAGGCATATAATTTTATGGACATGAATTTTTTTTTTATCAAATCACGTTTCAAAAAAAATCTTATTCAATCTGGTTCCACTCCAGAGTGTAGGCACAAGCTTAGTATTCACATAATATGATGCATACATGGGTGATTAACACTCCTGAACACAGCACAGGCAAGGGAGGGCTAGACATTAACCCCTCTCCTACAATATTTCAGCCATGAACCAGCCCCAACAAAAAATACTTGAAGGAGGGAAGGGAATTAGGCAAGAACTGGCACTTAGGCTACGAAAACCATAGAAATGGTAAGGAATTTTATAAATATATACGTTTAGAATCACACCAGTCGAATTTGAAGTGTAAAAAGGTTTAAATATGTTTAAACAATTGTCTCAAAGTTGTCACTTCAACTTTTGAAATTAGATTTTTGTATTTTCTTAGATAAATGTGAAGTTGACGTGTAATTTTTTAATCAAATTGCATATACAATATTAATGTTATTCCTAATTTTCCCTTGCCATGTGATTTTCAGTTTCAGCAAACATCTGAGCACGCCCTCTTCTCCTGCTCAGTTGTGGACGTGTTCACACAACTCAACCAAAGCTTCGAGATCATCAAGAAGTTGGAGTGTCCTGATCCAGAGATTGTTGCTCACTTTATGAGGCGTTTTGCCAAGGTAAATAAACGACTCATCTTATTCCCCACCTTCAACACCATGAAGGTTTACATTCTAGCTGGTATGCAGCATTCGCAGCGGTGTGTACACTGGCACGTTTTTTTTTGTTTTGGGATGGTACTATTTATGCCAGCAGTTATCTGCTCATGGTTTCCCAAAAATTGTGCCCTAGTGGTTTTATTAATCTCAGGCATTGGTACAGTTTACTATTATAATCAACGTCATGAAATGTATTTTGATTTAAAGCTTTCGTGACTGCAGTGATTCATATTCTTGGTTCTTTCGGTAAAGTCACGTTGAAGGGAAACAATAGAATAATACAAATATAAAACAATAAAATTCTCACGACGTTTCGACTGCAACACAAGCAGTCATCATCAGGTGATGATTTTTATTGTTTTATATATTTTTAAAATATCTTTTTTAATATATATTATTATTTTATTGTTTCCCTTCAACGTGACTTTACCGAAAGAACCAAGAATATGTCATGAAATGTAGTTATCGCAGTAAAGCGGTAGGCTGGTTCTCAAATGTAGTGAAGAGGAAAATGTTTATCGTCTGGAAGCAGCTCATATTTTTGTCTGGTTACAAAGGCTGTTGCTGAGGGTTCGATATTCGTCCGTCTACTGTTTTCATGATGTGTAGTGTTTTTTTCTCAAAATGTACTCTATGTCAATGATTCAATACATTCTGCATCTACTTTTAATGACATTCAAACAAAATGACACGTGGATTTTAATGGTACAGGGGGTCCCCGATATATGTCGGAGTTAGGGACGGGAAAGTTGTAACTTATAACGAAACAATGTATAACGGAGAATTTTTCCCCATAAGAATAATGGGAACTGGGGGGGGGGGGGGGGGTAGGGACCATGAGAGCATAAACATTGCCTATGCGATGCAAAGCGGGCCAATTTCACCCAAAAGAATCAATGGAATAAGGTAGGGATATGGAACCGTAAACTTAGGGAAATATTGTGTTTCATACCTAGCAAACAAGAATACGTACTGTACATGAACAGTACCTGTGCTATACTTAACAACACATAATGTACACATTTAGAACCAATTCTGAGTTCAAGAACCTTTAAACAGCATTTATACTTGTCAACCACTTCACTGAAAAACTTTTTTCTGAGCATTTCAAAGCAGCCCTGTAAACTTTAAAACGTTTTCCTTTTTTAAATATAAAACGTATTTGCGACATTGTTAAGCAATGACTGAAACAGATAATAAGTTTTAGTGTAAAAAAGCACAGAATCGGAAACAGCATTTGTAAATGTTTCACCTTAACTATAATTTGTATGATCTTACCTTGAGGAGTGGATGAGATGTGCTTGATTGGAGGTGTTGGGAGAGGATTAAACAGGATCATACCCAACTTCTGCAGCATCTACGTTGGCCATGGCTGACTCTCCCAGTATTTTTCCATTCCTAAAACTACATCGTGCCTGAAATCTGTAAAACCCTCCATGGGCGTGCTCTTGTTGTGCAGATCCTCTATCAATAACGCCAGCTATCATAAATGTTCTCTATGATAACACTTCTTTGCATGTAATTTTAACCTTCGAATGCTTAAAGCATGCTTAGCTTTCCTTTCTACATCATCACCATATCGTACGTACGCTCGTCGGAGGAAGATTCAAATGGCACTCGACACCAGTTGCACGTTCACCTTTTGTACTACGCACTGTCACCTGCGCTGTCACTAGCACTGCGCTTGCTACTCATTGTTGAAGGGTTGCAACGATATTTTGCGATACAGTCCACTCCGACGGTGGCACGTGCGCAAAATACGAGTTGCACAGTACGTTTTCTATTAGGCTGAACCAACTAGAAAATGCCGTAGCGACGAATGTGCGGGGAAATTTTACATTGGGTGTGAGGACCCCCCCGGATACAAGAAGAACCAGTGCCAGATCAAGCTAGTTGCGGGGCCTGTAGCATATGTTTTTTATGGGGCCCTAAATAAAAAACACGTAAATATTCAAACACAAATTTTAAATTTGCATCGTAAAGTAATTGTCTTTTTTTATTTGCTATACAGCCAGATAATACGACAAATCGCTTACCTTAAACACCCAGTCGTTCATAAAAGTTGAAGGCGGTATAGTACTATAGTAATGGAGCAAGTGCAGAATCACTGAACCGGAATTGATAGCCGGAAAGCATTTAGCGCGGGGCGCTTGAAAGTGCGGGGCCCGTAGCATTTGATACTTTTGCTACGAGGATAATCCGGCTCTGAGAAGAACGTACATAATTTTAAAAATTGCAATCATAATAAATGTTTCATTTTTATTTCCGCTAAGTATCTGAAATGTAATTCCTGTAGCACGAAACACTTTGTTGTTCCATCGTTGAAAATGGCACATCTTAAGTAATTGCCCATTTGTCTCGATTTTTCTCGTAGAGTTCAACAAACACAAAATAGTATTTAAAATAAGATAATCAAGTTGGCAGTTATGTTCTAAAAAATAACGCTTGTCCTCCGATATTTGTCCCAAATTGTTCCTTCTATATTTAAGTCAAATATTTAAGGCAAATGTATGTGATGGTGATGTGAGTAGGCACAAACCACACAGATTAATGTTACATTGTAGACTTGTTGTGCCACTCAGCCTTATAGTCACTGTGGTCTCTAAACTATAACAAAAGTTATTTTCCGTGTAAAAAACTATTTTAAAAATGTAATTCTTGTGAATGTATCTTTAAGGAATGTATTTAATACTCTGCCACCACGATGAACTCTTATGTTAACTCCACAAGAAAAGCCTCCTAATGTAATGTGTGCTATATTCTTAATATAACTATAATGCTTTGCTGCAAAAATCTAAACTTTATTTGGCAAATGCACTTTTAGTTTTGAATCATGTGACACTTATAATTATTTCTAGATTTGAAGCTTTTGTGACTGCAAGGATTCATACTCTTTGGTTTTTTCGTTAAAGTCACGTAGGTAAATTAAAATAAAAGAAAACAACTCAATTAAATCACGACGTTTCAGAGGCAACACAAGCTTCCGTCTTCAGGTGGAACAGACACAGGGTTATTACCAATGATTTGTCCATGAAGCCATCCAAATATACAAACATAGACACAACTTCAACCGAGAGGATGGTTTTAAATTGAGCAAATTTTGGAAATATGTCATCAACCAAGTCAAACGTTAGCTGGGTTATAATTGTACAGCCATTTCCGTTTATACCAGGATGGTGCCTGCGCTCGTGCAGCACGCCATCGCCCTCCCCCCCGAACCCCATGCAGCATAAAAAAGGGTGTTGTACTCGCTTTCTTGCAGTGCACCACCGCTCCCCCCGAACCCCATGCAGCATAACAAAAGGCGGCTTAACTTAGCCCTCCCCTCCCCACCCACGTCCCTTCCTGGCTCCTCCCCCCCACCTTAACATGTATATAATCTCGGGTATTCCAGAGCTGTTAATTTGTGGATACAGCGAATTTTGCTGTGTCTGTTCCACCTGAAGACGGAAGCTTGTGTTGCCTCCGAAACGTGGTGATTTGATTTAGTTTTCATTTATTTTATTTTACCTACGTGACTTTACCGAAAAAAAACAAAGAGTACTTATAATTATATTGCAACTGCAGTACATTTCGACTTTTCAACTATGATTTTTTTTAATTGTGTGAAAATATATATTTTTTCAGTTTTACACTGCTGGGCTATTTGTATTTTTCTTATTAGGCGGTATTAAATGCTGGGAACACACTGAACATTTCTGAATGTGTTTTACAGACCATTAGCAAGGTGTTGATGAATTACGCGGAAATCATCTCCCAGTACTTCAAGGAATACTGCTCCCAGGAAAAAGTGGTAAGCGTGTAATGTATGCTGCATCGGCACTTACAACTTCAAAATGTTCAATTAATTCACATTTTCGTTTCTGATGACTTAAGAGAATAGATAATTTGTTATTTTCTGTAACATTGCTATTTTAAAACAATGTAAGTGACTGCAGAAAAAAAAGACTGCCTTATTACTCCACTTCCTGCTGTAAAATAATACCAATCACAGCGGACAAAATATCACTCTTTTCACTTATCTTTCCTCTAAATCCTTAATTATGTATTCCAAACACTTTCCGTCCTCACAAACCTGCCACTCTCTTAAAGAAACTACAACCACACCTTCTCTAGGGATGGAACCCTAATCCCTTCACTTTTCTCCTCACAGTTTTATTCACAAGCCACTGTCCATTATGCTATCTTTATTACATTTTCTAAGCAAGTACCAGTAAGCACAAGATAATAATAATTATTAACACCTTATTACTCCAGGACTCCATATTCCTTCCATTCACCAGCGCCTTACCCTCATAGCAAAGTCTGTGTTGACATTTAAATGTCCGATTGTAAATTCAGTGACATCAAATAAATGATAGAACCTTGAGCTCATCAGCGTAATTCTATCATTATTATATCCTAAATAAACTCTTGAATGGCTGGCTGTCAGTTGTTCTACCACATCTTATAAGTAGTGTATGAACAATCAAGCAAACAAAACCAGACCATTGCTATTTAAAGCTTTCATGACTGCAGGGATTCATCTTCTGGGTTCTTTCGGTAAAGTCACGAAGAATGGAAATAAAATAATAAAAATAAAACATAATAAAATAAAATTCTCATGACGTTTCAGCCACAACATAAGTAGCCTTCTTCAGGTGAAGGAACAGAACTGTCGGGACCACAGCGCTTCAATGAACACTGCTAAGCTTCGCAGCGTCTTTTAAGCTGGGTGGGAGGAGCAGAGCGCCTTGACAAAGGAGTTTACATATCAACAGAAGAATTTAGCATTGAAATAGCTGTGTTAAAGTGTTGGATTAGCAGGGTGTTAAAGTCAGAAATTAGCATGTAACTGGGAGATTAGCATGATGTTAATGTGAGGGATTAGCATGTAACTGGTCACGAAAGTAGCTATGTTAAAGTTAGAGTTTACATATCAACAGAGGCATTCAGTATATTGACGCTAAAGAACTGCAACTACCCAACTATCATACAATAAGCCGATGTGAAAGAACTAAGTATAAACTACATCAATATAATAAATGTACTCAATATATTCTTCAGTAAGTTGAGCTATTAACATAAAGTAACTGATTTTCAAATTCAACCGCCTCTCCAACAAAAAATCGGACTCACACACCGAAAAGCTAGACGTTAACAAAGTCGTAATTAATCGAAGTAACAGTTCTATTTCTCATGGTCTGAAAGCCGTTTTAGCTAAAGGGCTAAACTTTGCAGTCACACCTAGACACATTCCAGTTAATGATATCATTGCCCATGTCGAGGTGGCACTCAAGGGCCTGGGTCACATCGCTGCAGATGTAGCAAGATCTGAAATCGCTGCAACCCTCAAAAACGCTAAGATGCCAGCTAGCAACATCAGCAAAATGAGCGCTTTGAATTATCTCAATTAAAAAAGAGAGATGACATTGTCATCCTCTCACCCGACAAGGGCAATGCCACTGTCATCATGGACAAAATAGAATATAACAACAAAATTCAGGAACTATTCAACGATGGCAGCTATACAAAAATAAGAAGAGACCCCACTAACAGCCTCGTTACTAAAACCAACAAAATCATTTCTGATTCAACAGCATTAATTGATCAAACCAAACAGTTCTCGTTGAAACCTTCTGCGGCCAGGCCACCAAGATTATATGGCCTTCCAAAGATACTTAAAGAAGATTCACCCCTTCGTCCAATCGTCTCTATTATCAACTCCCCCACCTATAAACTGGCTCGTTTTCTGTCTGAAATCCTGCGGCCTTTTACTGGAAAAACCACCTCTGCGCTACAAAACTCTACTCACCTGGTATCGACAATCAAGGGTATTTCCGTGTCCCCAGACGACCTGCTTGTCAGCTTTGATGGGGTTTCCTTATTCACCAAAGTTCCTGTACCTGACACCATCGCAATCATTGAAGACTTGGTTCATCAAGGACTGCATACTGATGTACCCCCCCTGGTGAGACACTGCTTAACCAACACATACTTCACCTGGAATAGAACTTTCTACAAACAAACTGAGGGCACCCCAATGGACTCCCCCCCTATCTCCGGTTGTAGCCAACGTTTTCATGGAGAAATTTTAGACTAACGCCATCCAGACTGCCACTCTATGCCCGACCTTATGGAAGAGGTACGTGGATGACACTTTTGTCATCTGGCCACATGGCCGGCCTGCTCTAGACCAATTCCTCGACCACATCAATTCCATACACCCAGCCATCAGATTTACCATGGAAGTCGAAAAAGATGGCAAGCTACCCTTTTTGGATGTCCTAATTAAAAGGAGACCTGATGGTTCAATGAGCCACTCTGTCTACAGGAAAGCTACCCATACAGATGCTTACTTAAAACCGGATTCCCACCACCATCCATCCCAGAAGAATTCCCTCATCAAGACTCTATACCATAGAGCCTAATGCATTTCCGACCAGGAACACATTGCCAGTGAACTCAAGCACGTACACCAAGCTCTCAAGGATAATGGTTACTCCGACTACACAATCCGCAAAGCCATCACTCCAGCCATGAAGAAGGATCCTCTTGATAAAGTATTAAAGCTTTCGTGACTGCATGAAATAGGATCCTCTTGAGCCATTCAAAACCACCACCTTACCCTACATTGCGGGGGTCACAAAAAAGATCTCCAAAATCCTGAATAAACACAAGATCCAGGTCCGATTCAACACATTACATAAAATCCGTGATCTGGTTTCGTCTGTAAAAGATGTGGTTCCAGACATACAGTACCCGGGCGTCTACAAACTAAGTTGCCTCTGTGATAGCAGCTACATTGGAGAAACCAAACGACATGTCTCGGACCGCATCCGTGAACATAAAGCAGACTTGAAACATTGTAGGGCAAACACCTCAGCTGTGGCAGATCACTGTTATAATTCAGTGGGCTCACATGACATTGACTTCTCCAAGACGGAGGTTTTCTGCAAGCCATCCGGCTACCATGAGAGATTCGTTCATGAGGCCATCCACATATACAATCACAGAGACAATTTCAACCAAAAAGATGGATTCTGGCTTAGTAACCATTGGAAAGACGTTATAAACCATTTTGGTTCTTCATTGATTGTATTTTACGGTGACTTTCAAACCGCAGTCCATTCGCTGGCACTGCCTCTTAATACCTTTCACACGACGGTCAATGGTATGGTTTATAGCATGTTGTATAATAATAAATAGTATAACAGTGTAATGTTTAACATAATTCATAAGGCAATATATAGTATCCTAATTGTATAGTGAATATACAGCAGTGTGGTATACAGTAGGGTTGGTAGAATAATACATAGTGTAATATTACAAGTCTAATATTTTATAGTCTAAAGTATAGGGTAGTGTATAGTAACGCATTGTATTATTCAAGGGTGGGGTTTGTCTATGGCAGTGTATATTATGGTGTATAGTCGTGTAATGTAGAAAAAAGTTTAGTTGGAGACATATCAATATAATGCATAATGGTAGAGCTTACATTGGGCTGTGTATATGATATTATACAATGTAGTTTAGATTGGAAGGTATAACATTGTAATGTATAGTAGTCTAGTTTATAACATAGTTGTAACGCAACACTGGACAGAGCAGCGCATCATGGCTGTTTCTCCCCCCTCCTCCGTTCCGAGCATAGATGGACTCGTCCGTCTGAACAAAGCTCGTGCTTTCCGTGGTGCTAACGTTGAAAAGAAAAAAACACCACTTTTTTTCGACGTAGAATTGTAATGTATAACGACTTATTGTTAGTAGCTCAACTGATTGGAGAGTATAATGAGTTTATTGATAACATTGATGTCGTTTATATATTTTTTATCAGTTTACTATATGGTATTCATTATATAGTGTAGTGTATACCCAGTTACTTTATGTTAATAGCTCAACTTACTGAAGAATATATTGAGTACATTTATTATATTGATGTAGTTTATACTTAGTTCTTTCACATTGGCTTATTGTATGATAGTTGGGTAGTTGCAGTTCTTTAGCGTCAATATACTGAATGCCTCTGTTGATATATAAACTCTGACTTTAACATAGCTACTTCCGTGACCAGTTACATGCTAATCCCTCACATTAACATCATGCTAATCTCCCAGTTACATGCTAATTTCTGACTTTAACACCCTGCTAATCCAACACTTTAACACAGCTATTTCAATGCTAAATTCTTCTGTTGATATGTAAACTCCTTTGTCAAGGCGCTCTGCTCCTCCCACCCAGCTTAAAATATGCTGCGAAGCTTAGCAGTGTTCATTGAAGCTCTGTCGTCCCGACAGTTCTGTTCCTTCACCTGAAGAAGGCTACTTGTGTTGTGGCCGAAACGTCGTGAGAATTTTATTTTATTGTTTTATTTTTATTATTTTATTTCCATTCTACGTGACTTTACCGAAAGAACCAAGGAGACAGACCATTGCTGTTATGACTAAACATTCTCACGAGTTATGCGTGCACTCACGACTTATTTTATAGAACTTATTCCCTATTTCTCCCCACTAGCTCCCCCTCATTGTCTCTCCCCTATTTTTGTACACGCCGAACGCCATTTCTTTCTTCCTCTCGGGTTTCTTATTTGAATCAGGGTCTCATGCCCAGCACCACTGAACTGACAAGTTCCCACGTGTCACGTCTCTCCTCAGACCCAACAACACCCAGTAATGTCCCCACCTAGCTTAACTATGCCCACTATGCTTAGAATTGCAAGGCCTCTTAAATATTGTATTATAGTTTTAAAGTGTTGATTTTATGCCACTTGTGGACTACTGAATGCATCCAGAAATCGAATCTTTCTACTTC